ATTGTTCTGCAGCCCTCTCTAAGTGGTCTTTACAGAGTCAGCCCCAACAATCTGGGTCCTCATTTTAACCCACCTCAGAAGGAAGGAAGGAAGGCTGAGTCAACCTTGAGCCTGGCGAGATTTGAACTGTCAAATTGCAGGCAGCCGGCAGTCAGCAGAAGTAGCCTGCAGTACTGCACTCTAACCACTGCGCCACTGAGGCTCACTGAGGTAATTTTGAATGGCCCACTAAGTGAACTGTCGTAAGTCAAGGACTACCTATACAGATATTTCATTTCAATGTTCTGCAATTTCTTTTCCTTGCTAATCTCTCCTTTCTGATTAATAAATTTGAATACTGATCTCCAAAATTCATAGTACTTAAATTTCAGCTAGATTAGATTTTCCCTCTTTTCTTTCCTGTATAATGCTTTGTTTTATTTTTACTGCAGCAAACCTGTGTTCTTAATTTCTTTGCATTTACCGTCTCTCTTAAGTTTTCTCTCCCCTTTTGTTTGTTCCCTAGTTTCTGCTTCTCTTTAAATGTAACTTGCCACTCTTAAAAAATGCATCTAATAATAGTGTTCAGAGCATCCAGTGCGATATTCAGATAGCCCGCCATGATTATTAACTCAAAATTAATTTTATGCTTTCATTGAAAGTTTATCTTGAACTCAAGTGTTGCTTAGAAACGAAAGCCAACTTCACTTTAAACCGTAATGAGATTAATATCGTGCGTTATTGATAACAAACAGAACTTAACAAACAGCATGTTCAGAATTGCTTACTTTTCCTATTGCACCTCAATGAATATATGAATGTAGCTAAAATAAAATTCAAATATTATTGTTTCCTTAGTAGATTTCATATTAAGTAAATAAGACAAGTAATATTTAACAAGCGGTAGCCTGGTGCCTAGCTTCAATGCGGGTAGTCCTCGCCTTACGACCACAATTGAGCCCAAAATTTTCTGTTTTCTGTAAAGTGAAACGTTGTTAAGTGAGTTTTGCCTCATTTTACGACTTTATCTTGCCGCAGTTGTTAAGTGAATTACTGTAGTTGTTAGGTGAGTAACACGGTTGTTAAGTGAATTGGGTTTCCCCCCATTGATTTTGCTTGGCAGAAGGTCGCAAAGGGGATCACATGACCCCATTTATGACCGTCATAAATATGAACCAGTTGCCAAGTGTCCAGATTTTGATCACATTACCATGGGGACGCTGCAATGGTTGTGAGTGTGAAAAATGGTCATAAGTCACTTTGTTCAGTGCCATTGTAACTGTGAATTGTCACTAAATGAACTGTCGTAACTGGAGGACTGCCTGTACACGTGAATTTTAAGCAAAGCTTGACATTTGGGAATCCTGATTTAATAAAACCTAATTCTATTATAAGGGATGTGGTGGCTCAGTGGCTAAGATGCTGAGCTTGTCGATCAAACAGTCGGCAGTTCAGCGGTTCGAATCCCTAGTGCCACGTAATGGGGTGAGCTCCCGTTGCTTGTCCCAGCTTCTGCCAACCACCCGAACCACCCGCTGCCATCGCTACCAGATCGGGCGATCCAGTCCGAACCGGAAGCATTTCACCCCTGCCCGGGATGCCACAACTGTCGTAAATACATGCTGGTTGCTAAGCACCCAAATCTCGGTCAGGATGGGGATACTGTGACGGTCGTAAGTGTGAGGAATGATTGTAAATCACTTTTTTCAGTGTCGTTATAACTTTGAACGGTCACTAAACGAATGGTTGTAAGTCAAGGGCTGCCTATAATTTGTTACAGGTGACTAAGAACAAATCAAAGTTAAAAAAATAATCCATCCCAGTGTATTTTTAGTTTTTGCATCCATGCCCTTCTCCTTCTCATCCTGCTCAAATTCTTCTTTTTTTCCCCCACGTAACGTATTTTCTGCTTTTTAAAAATCTCTCACTTGGCATCTAAAGATATTATGGACTTAATACCAATTTCCTGGTTCTGATTCCACTTCAAACTAACTTATCTCTAAACGCCACTGACCCCCAGGCCCAAGGTCATCCATCCAGGCTGAGGATTATGGGATCTGAAGTTCAAACTATCTGGAGGGCATCGGATTAAAAAAAAAAAAGGCTGGTTTAAGGTTAATAATGTCATTTGGCAACATTAGCAGAATAGCAGATAAAATTCAGCCTCCTTAAACTCTCTGTGAAAAGATATGCAGATTCATATTACATCATGTTCCTTTATAACAGTGTTTCTCAACCTTGGAAGCTTGAAGATGGATGGACTTCAACTCCCAGAATCCCCCAGCCAGCTGGCTGGGGTATTTTGGGAGTTGAAGTCCACCCATCTTCAAGCTTCCAAGGTTGAGAAACACTGCTTTATAACATCTGAACTCCATAGAATAACTTCTGGCTACTTTGTCTGAAGGGAGGCAAGCAGATCTGTGTCCAGCAGGGGATTACTGTACTGAAAATTATTATCTAGCGCCACCTGGTGGTGAAGAGTTGTCATTATCCCAAAGTTCCTTTTGTTTTTTTCTTTAAAGTAGTGAAAATGCTTCCTGGAGTCTGCAATTTTTTCCCCTGGAACTCTGTTCATACTCCCGCACCATTTGAAAGGCTTTCATCCCAAATTGCATAGCTAAAAGTCTGTCGAGATTCTCAGTCATCCAGCTCACGGTTGTCCCAAAGGTGTTGGTTTTTTTTTTTTTTTTTTTGCAGGAGGTCACTGGACTTTCTAGTTTTTCTTTGAAGAAGTTTCACTTCTCCTCCAAGAAGCTTCTTCAGCTCTGACTGAATGGTGGGAAATGGAAGGATTTATGGAAGATCTGTGTTATAGATTGCAGTCCAAGAAGGCTCCACACCCATTTGCATCATTCAGGTGACCCTGATCTTCAAAGAAAAACCAGAAAGTCCAGTTGGCTCTTGAAAAAAGCACCTTTGGGACAATTATGACCTGGATGACTGAGAATCTCTACAGATTCTCAACAGGTGTGGGAAAAGGAATGGATTTCCAGAGGAGAAATTGCAGACTATAGGTGACCCTGAGGACATAGGTAAACCTCCAAGTGTTTCAAGGACTCTCTAAAAAGGATGCAAATGACCAGCTATCTGCAAGGAATATATATCCTTCCATTCCCCACCATCCAGGCAGAGCGGAAGAAGCTTCTTCGGATGAGAAGTGAAACATCTTCAGAGAAATGTCTATGGAGATGCTCAGTCATCCAGTTCATGGTTGTCCCAAAGGTGTTTTTTTTTCTTTTCAGGAGGCCACTGGACTTTCTAGTTTTTCTTTGAAGACGTTTCACTTCTCCTCCAAGAAGCTTCTTCAGCTCTGACTGGATGATGGAGAATGGAAGGATTTATATTCCTTGCAGACAGCTGGTCATTTGCATCCTGTTAGAGAGTCCTTGAGGTCACTTGGAGGTTTATCTGTGTCCTCAGAGTCACCTGAGTGGTCCAAATGGGTGTGGAGCCTTCTTGGAACTGCAATCTACAACATAGTCCTTTCAACAGTTCCAAGAAGGCTCCACACCCATTTGCATCATTCAGGTGACCCTGAACTTCAAAGAAAAACCAGAAAGTCCAGCTGGCTCTTGAAAAAAAGCACCTTTGGGATAGTTATGACCTGGATGACTGAGAATCTCTACAGAATCTCTACAGGTGTGGGAGAAGGAATAGATTTCCAGAGGAGAAATTGCAGACTGGTTGCAGACTCCTCCAAGATGCTTCTTCGGCTCTGACTGGAGGGTGGAGGAATGGAAGGATTTATATTCCTTGCAGACGGCTGATCATTTGCATCCTTTTAGAGAGTCCTTAAGGCCGCTTGGAGGTTTACCTGTGTCCTCAGGTTTACCTGAGTAGGGGTGTGCTACCATTTGCACTACTCAGATGACCCTGAGGACACAAATAAGGGGGCCTCAACGACCATCTAAAAGGATGCAAATGACCAGCTGTCTGCAAGGAATATAAATCCTTCCATTCCCCCACCATCCAGTCAGAGCTGATGAAGCTTCTTGGAGGAGAAGCGAAACGTCTTCAAAGAAAAACTGGAAAGTCCAGTGGCCTCCTGAAAAAAAGCACCTTTGGGATAACCGTGACCTGGATGACTGAGAATCTCTACAGACTTTTAGCTATGCAATTTGAGATAAACACCCTTTGAATGGTGTGAGAGTATGAACAGATTTCCAAAAAAATTGCAGACTACAGGAAGCATTTTCACTATTCAGGTGACCCTGAGGACACAGATTAATTTCCAGGTGACCTTAATAACCGGCTAAAAGGATGCAAATGACCAGCTGTCTGCAAGGAATATAAATCCTTCCATTCCCTCACCCTCCGGTCAGAGCTGAAGAAGCTTCTTGGAGGAGAAGCGAAACATCTTCAAAGAAAAACTAGAAAACCCAGTGGCCTCCTTGGGAAAAAAAAAAAAACACCTTTGGGATAATTATTTTATTTTATTATTTTTTTATTTTATTGAATTTATATACCGCCCTACTCCCGAAGGACTCGGGGCGGTGAACAGCCACAGAATAAAACATATAAACACAAAATTGAAAATAAGATAAAACGAATTAAATAATTTGGCTGAACCAATTTAAAACCCCAATCATTTAAAACCGAATTTTAAATTTCCATTTAAAAAGGGGAAAGACTTAGGTCAGTTATGACCTGGATGACTGAGAATCTCTACAGACTCTCGACAGGTGTGTGTGTGTGGGGGGGGGGGAAGGAATGGATTTCCAGAGGAGAAATGGCGGACTACAGGTGACCCTGAGGTGACAGGTAAACCTCCTTTGCAAACGGCAGGCTTGAGCCGCCAGAAGTCGCAACTCCGGGAACTCCCGAGTCTCCGCAGCCTTTAGCGTAGGCTTCTCTCCTGCTTGGGCTTGGGCGGGGTTGGTCTAGATGACCTCCAAGGTCCCTCCCAAACTCTGTTTATTCTGTATTAACAGCCAAAGCTGGAGAGGGGACTTGCGGGCGGAGCAGCGGCCGGGTTTGGAGCCAAGCCCCGCCTGGGAGGCGGTCTGGCAGGCGGGCCGGAAGAAGCAGAAGAGCCGGAGAGCCGGGCTTGGTGCGGCCATGCCGGGGATCCCTGGCGAAGGGCGATGCGTGGTCTGCGGGCGAGAGGGGCGCCAGGCCGCGAAGTACCGCTGTCCGGGCTGCCGGGAGAGATAGTGGGTACCAGGGGCGCGCTCTGCTTATGCTCAGAGGCCGCTTGTGCGAGGGGAAGGGGCTTCCCGCTGCTCTCGGGGTTTGGCGTTTGCAAGGAGAGGAGGGGGAGGGGATCTTGGGGAACGGGAAGGGAGGGTCTCTTTGGAGGGGGTGTCCGGACTAAGGAGGGTTGAAGATGCTTTGCAAGAACAGGGGGCGCCCCATTTATTTGTTTTTATGGATATAAATACACGTCTATGTCTGTCTTGTCTGTCTCTCTCTTATAGCATGGCTGGCTGGGGGATTCTGGGAGTTGAAGTCCATCCATCTTTAAAGTTAACAAGATTGGGAAAGGTTGCTCCAAATAAAGTGGTTTCCCCCCCCCACTTCTCATACAGAAAGTATCTATCTATCTATCTATCTATCTATCTATCTATCTATCCATATCTATCAATCGTCTTTTTCTATTATCCATCCATCCTATATCTGTCTGTCTGTCTATCATCCATTCATATCTATCATCTATCTATCATCCATTCATATATATATATATAGTTATTTATTCTATCTATCATCTATCCATTCATCTATATATATATATATATATCTAGTTTATCATCTATCTATCATCCATTCAACTATCTATCTATAGTTTATCATCTATCTATCATCCATTCATCTATATATATATATATATATACTTATCTAGTATTCTATTATCTATCCATTCATCTATATAGATGAACTAGATATCTATATCTAGTTTATCTATCATCTATCTATCATCCATTCATCTATATATGTATATCTAGTTATCTATCTATTCTATCTATCCATTCATCTCTCTATATATATATCTAGTTTATCATCTATCATCCATTCATCTATCTATCTATCTATCTATCTATCTATCTATCTATCTATCTATCTATCTACATATATATATATCTAGTTATCTATCTATTCTATCATCTATCATCCATTCATATATATATTTCTAGTTTATCTATTTATTCTATCTGATCTATCTCATCTATCCATATCAATCAATCGTCTTTATGTATAATCTATTCATCCATCCTATATCCAGCTATCATCTAGCTATCTGATCTATCAATCTATATTTCTGTCTAACTATATCTCTATTTCTGTCTAACAATCACATATCAATCAATCATTTAATCTATATATATATTCTACCTATCTATCGATCATCTATCCCATCCATCCATCCATCTAATATTTCTTTGAACATATCTTTCATCCTCCTATTTGCTTATATTTATAACATTCTATTATAGATACTCGGGGGATCCCTTGCAAGGGTGGGAAGGGTAGGTTGTGGGTGATTTGGGGATCACTGGCCGAGCAGAATGTCTTCCCCGCCTCTCTCCTTCGCCCGGGTTGTAATGCAATGGGGGATTTCTTAGGTGCAATCTCTTCTAAGTGAGAATTGCTGGCTTAGAAATCTAGAAATTGTTTCACTGTCTCAGAAATGGTCCATTGGGGTTTGTGGGTTGATTCAGGTTGAACGTACAAAGGTTAGGGAGAGATCTAGCATAGTGTTTTTGACACTTAGGAATTTTTAAGAAGTGTGGACTTCAACTCCCAGAATTCCCCAGCCAGCTATGCATTCTGTTTTCGAGCAAAAAACACTCATTGGATAAAATTGATTTGTTTATTGGCTGGGGAATTCTGGGAGTTGAAGTCCACACGTCTTAAAAATTCCTAAGTGTGAGAAACTCTGATTTTGCAAATGCATTCCCAGAATGTGGCAATCTTGATTAGAGTTTTGTTTAGTTGCTATCTCTTTTAAAAATTTAAAAATTTTCTGTGTTGTGCAATTCCAGCTCTTTGGTCTGGTGGATACTTTGGTGTGTAATATGAATCTTGAAAAATGGGTAAATTAAGTGAGTTGTGTGCATCTCAGCCTCTGGAATCAAATTAACTTTTCCCCTTTAAATGGTTGGTATTTGCTTTCTGTGTTAGCATTCAGCCTTGTATAATGTCTGAAGGAGCAATAAGGAGACCTCTGCACATGTGCAGAGTGCATTCCTCCCACCAGATCCAGAGCTAGGTTGAAATACAGAAACTTGGGATCAATCCATATTTTTCTTTTCTAACTCTTTTGCTCTTAAAACTCATGCCCTGATGGATTATTCTCTTTGTTTTTTCAGTTGTTCAGTGCCCTGTTACAAGAAGCATAAAGGTAAATTCCCTTTTCATCTGGCTCCCTATTCAATTAATTCAAATTGTAATTCTGTGTCTCAGCCTTCCCAAAATCTATATTGGATGGGGTGTATGGGATCTGAAGTCCTATAAATTTGAGAAGCATCGGTTTTGTTTTCCATTTGCTTCGTTTCCCTTCTGGTCAAATTCTATATTGTTTTTTTTTTTTTCTCGTTTTCATCTGGGGAAGTCCATTGTGGTGCGATAGCCTAGAGATGGAGCTCTCGCTTCACAATCAGGAGGCTGTGAGTTCGATCCTAGGTAGAGGCTGATATTTTCCTGTCTGGGCACAATGAGAATATATGTCAGAGTTTAGGCAGTGTAACTAGTATTATGAGATAAACCCAGGAGCAGAACACAGCACACAGAGCCTTTAGATAAATAACAGTGGTTTATATACAACTAAATGTTTACAGACTTATACGTGGTTAAATACCTTATCATACAGCTACTGACACACAGAGAGCAATGAGTTACAGGATGAGAGAGAACATGAGGAGAAGGCATGAGGAGAGGGAAACGCCCGCTAATGGCTTCCCTTATATAGTATAGGCCAGTGATGGCTAACCTTTTTGCCATCGTGTGCCAAAAGCAGGGGGAGCACAGGGATTTGCGCATGCCTGTGCCCACACCCATAATTCAGTGCGCCCCACATATGCGCATGTGACCCTCCCCCTGCACTCCCCCACCTTTTGGCACGCAATGGCATGGTGGGCACGGTAGGCCCGTTTTTCACCCTCCCCAGGCGCCAGAGGCTTTCTTGGAGCATCGGAAGGGCAAAAATGGCTCCCCCCACCCCACCGAGGCCCTCGGGAAGCCGGAAACGGCCTGTTTCCTGACTTCCAGTGGACCCGGAAAGCCCTAACCCTAACCCGTTTTTTCCCTCCCCAGGCTCCAGAGGCTTTCTAGGAGCCTGGGGAGGGTGAAAACTATCTTCCCCATCCCCCCTTCGGAGGCACTCCGGAGGCTGGAAACAGCCTGACTTCCAGTGGGCCCAGAAGGGCCAAAAATCAGGTGGCCGGTGCATGCATGCGTGCTGGAGCTGAGCTAGGCAACGCTCGCGTACCCACAGGTATGGCTCCGTGTGCCACCTGTGGCACGCGTGCCATAGGTTTGCCATCACGGGTATAGGCAGCTTCTTACCCAGCTACTTAAAGGGGCAGTAACCTCATTCCATTGCATCAACTTCCAGTTGCCTCAGCTTACAACCTCTCATCAGCTTACAGCTGTTAACTCTTCATACCCTGACAATATATCTGCTGAGAAAAACCTCTGCATTGGTGACAGGGAAGGGCATCCGGCCAGTAAACTCTCAGCTCCATTTAGTTGCCCAGACTCCACCCTGCAAAGGATTATGGGGGTCATTAAAAGAAGATGATCTGGGGAAGTCCATTGTAACTTTGAACAGCTAAGAAACCATTTCAAATTATAACAGACACCCCAAAATGACATGCTTCTGGGGTTCTGACAGCTATATGCACACACAGATTCACATACACACAATGTGGTCACGTGATTGCATTGAGCCTTTGGCAACTGGCTCATGTTTATGGCATTTTGCAGGATCTGGTCACGTGACTGTGATTGTTGGTGGCTTTTGCTGGTTTCCGGCATTCTTAATTTCCGGCAAAAGACACTCATTGGATAAAGTTGATCCCTGCGTTCATTAACGACCATGTCACTTTTTTAACAACCGCTGCAAAAATTCAGCCCAATTCATACAATTGGGGTGACCCACTTAACGACTGCAATTCCAGGTTCAATTGCAGTCATAAGACGAGGACTACCTGCAATCAAATGCAAATCTGGAGTAACGTCTTTAAGCTTTGCAGCTGCTTTCTAAAGGGATGGAAAGCAGGGCTGCGTGATCTGTAACGCCAAACCAAGTAGGATAAGCTTAAAAAAAAATGTGATTGGAATTTTAATAGAAGAGTGCGCTTCCGGAGCGGATCCAGCCACGCGGCCTGCAGATTCAGATGCTTCCTGCTCCATTCAGAGGGAGAAATCACAGAGAGCTGAAGGTACGTATTATTTATTTATTTATTTATTTATTTATTATTTATTAATCAAATTTCTATACCGCCCTACTCCCAAAGGACTCAGGGTGGTGAACAGCCAAGATAAAATACAGATAATACAAATATTAAAAATCCCTTAAAATTATTAAATATTTTGGCCGAAACACAGATTAAAACACCCAATTTATAAAATCACGAATTAAAAATTTAAAAGAGGAGAGTTAGGCCAGGCCAGCCTGCTGAAATAAAAAAGTTTTGAGATCACGACGAAATGTGCGCAGGTCCGGGATCCTCCGTATCTCTGGGGGGAGCTCGTTCCAGATGGTAGGTGCCCCCACAGAGAAGGCTCTCCCCCTGGGGGCCGCCAGTCGACACTGTTTGGCCGACGGCACCCTGAGGAACCCCTCTCTATGGGAGCGTACTGGTCGGTGAGAGGCTACTGGTGGCAGAAGGCGGTCTCGTAAATACCCCGGTCCGATGCCATGGAGCGCTCTAAAGGTGGTAACCAAAACCTTGAAGCGCACCCGGAAGACCACCGGGAGCCAGTGCAGCTCGCGCAGGAGGGGGGTCACATGGGAGTGCCACGTCGCTCCCATAACCACCCGCGCGGCCGCATTCTGGACCAGCTGGAGCCTCCGGGTGCTCCTCAAGGGGAGCCCCATGTAGAGAGCTTTGCAGTAGTCCAGGCGGGAGGTAACGAGAGCATGAGTGACTGTATTTAACAATATTTAATGATATTTAAATATTTAGTCGTGAGCTGGAAGGAAAATGGGTTTTCTTTCTGTATGAGAAACGGATGTAGATTTACAGGCGGCCGGGTTGACAAAATCAGAAATGAGGAGGTGATAAGCCGCCTGGGAAAGCCAGGGGAAATCATCAAAACCATCCAAAAGGGAAAGTTAGAATATTTCGGACATGTGATGCGACACCCGGAAAAATATGGCATCCTTCACTTAATCCTCCAAGTTAAGATCGAAGGCAAACGAGGTCCAGGCAGAAGAACATCATCATGGCTTCCAAAATCTAAGGGACCGGTTTGGACAAAACTCAGCAGCACTTTTTCATGCAGCTGCTGATAAAAACAAGATCGCCAACATGATCGCCGACATCCGATGACGGATATGGCATAAGAAGAATGAGAAACGGGGAGAAAACCACTTTATTTGGAGCAACGTTTCCCAACCTTGCCAACTTTTTAAGATGGGTGGATTTTCAACTTTAAGATGGTTGGCTGGGAAATTCTGGGAGTTGAAGTCCACCCGTCTTGAAGTTGCAAAAAGTTGTGAAATGTTGATTTGGAGAGAGAGTGCAACGGGAATGGCAGAATTGAAATGTTTTGCTCCTTCATCCTATGTAGCTTTTCAAAGCACAAACGGAGAACCAATAGCAATAGTGGTGAATATCTCTAGCTCGGGTGTGGGTTGAGAGTGAAGGTTCATTCTGTGAGCTTGTGGGACCCACAAGCTCGGAGAACGAACTTTCACCCTCCTAGAATAATAGGGTGGGAAGGGACCTTGGAGGTCTTCTAGTCCAGGAGTCACCAACCTTGGCAACTTAAGACTTGTGGACTTCAACTCCCAGAAACTCTGGGAGTTGAAGTCCATGTCTTAAAGTTGCCAAAGTTGGAGACCCCTGTTCTAGTCCAACTCTCTGCTTAAGCAGGAGACTCTACATCCGTGATGGCGAACCTATGGCACGTGTGCCACAGGTGGCACGCGGAGCCATATTAGGGGGCACGCCAGCTCAGCTCTGGGGCACATGCGCGCGCTGGCCAGCTGATTTTCGGGTCTTCTGGGCCCACCAGAAGTAGGGAAACAGGCTGCCTCTGGAGGGCCTGGGGGGGTGTGGGGAAGGCCCGTTTTTCTTTCTTACCTGGCTCCAGATCCTCTCTGTGTATCTGGGAACGGCGAAAACAGCCTTTCCCACTCCCTTGGAGGCCCTACGGAGGCTGAAAGGGCCCATTTCCTCACTCCCGGTGGGACAGGAAGGGACATTTTTTCCTGTCCCCAGCCTCCAGAGACTTCTAGAGAGGCTCACTCCTAGAGAGGCTCCTACAGACTCCTAGAGAGGTTCTGGAGGCTGGGGACAGCAAAAAATGTCACTTCCTGTCCCACTGGGAGTTGGGAAATGGGCCCTTTCAGCCTCCGTAGGGCCTCCAAGGGAGTGGGAAAGGCTGTTTTCGCCGCTCCCAGATACACAGAGAGGATCTGGAACCAGGTAAGAAAGAAAAACGGGCCTACCGGGGGGGGAGGGGGGAGGGGGTTGCGTACACATGCGCGTGGGCACGTGCGCACGCGACCCTCCCCCGCCTCCCCCCTCCTGGCACATGATGGCAAAAAGGTTAGCCATCACTGCTCTACACCAGCAGCCCCCAACTGGTCCATAGATTGGGGGTTGGGGGCCATTCCAAAGGCCAGTAGCACAATGGTAAAATCTGTGTAGATGCTACTTCTTCTGGACTTCTTTAGTAACGGAATTGTCTCTTTTCGGCTTTTTAGGCGGTCCTTGGTCTGTGGATGACATTTTGACCGAAGATGATGAAGACGATAGGGTGCCTCTTCAGAAACTTCAGCTATTGAGTAAGTTTTTGGCATAAAATAAATGAGTATCCTACCATTAAGGAAACTTACCTATTTCAATCTCCTGCAAATATTTATTTGAATGAAGTTACTAGTGAAATCCTGGTGATTTCCTTGCCATGGAGGGAACTAATTAAAAAATAAACCGTTTCGGATTAGAAGCACAGGAAGTCCTTGACTTATGGCCACAGTTGAGCCCAATTTTTCTGTTGCTTCTAAGCAAGGAGGTTGTGAAGGGAGTTTTGCCCCATTTTACGACTCTCTGGCCAGAGTTGTTAAGTGAATCACTGCAGTTGTTTAGTAACATGGTTGTTAAGTGAATCTGGCTTCTCCATTGGCTTTGCTTAACTGAAGGTCGCAAAAGTTTGATCGCATGACCTTGGGATACTGCAGCCGTCGTAAATATAAGCCAGTTGCCAAGCAAAATTCACTTAACAATTGTCTCACTTTGCAACAGAAATTTTGGGTTCAATTTTGATTGTAAATCGAGGATTACCTGTTGTGAAGTTTCCGAAAGATGCCCTAATTAATTCATGAGCCACGAGCCAAACTTCAAAAGAAATACAGTCATTTATTAGAAGCACCATTTTGGCAATATTTGGATGCAGTTAGAACTAATCCCATATAGATTTACATTTCCCCATGATCCTGTCTCTCCCCTCCTCCTTGGCCATGTCATAAATCACATTCTCCAATTAACCACTTTGGCTGGCTGTGAAGCCCAAAGCTCTCCTACCGACTGCAGGTAGAAAGGCATCTGTGGAATGTAGTTTCAGTTAGGGAAATCAATCTGCTCCATCAGTTCTCCCTCCCTCCTGCTCATGGCAACTTGAAAGCTTTGCAAGTTGACACCTGTATTTGACTTCCCCCCCTGGATCCTCAGACATCTTAGATGCCGAGAACTTTTCCATATCTGAAATTCTCAGCTCATCCTTCTTCCTCCCCCCCACCCACCCCCTTTTCTAAAAACAGAGGACTCGGAAGAGCTCCAAGCCATCCTTTCGAATCCTCACCTCCGGACGCTGCTGCTTACCATCGACCAAGCCAAAGATAAGAGTGCTCTCATGAAAAAATACATGCAGGAACCTGTCTTCGTGGAGTTTGCAGATTGTTGCCTGAGGACTGTCGAGCCGGAAGTGAAGAACGAAATTCCAGAGTGAATGTCTAGGAGTCAAATAGAGGTTTTTCCAGCCCAGGAAAGTGGCTAGCAAATTTGGAAATGCTTTCTCTTATTCACTTGCTGTTGGAATCTCTTGGGACAGAATGAGCTACGTTGCTCCCAAGAACGGTTGATCCAAGCAGGGTGGGTGGGTAGGGGAGGGTCATTTTCACAAGCTGAATTATTATTATTATTTTGAACCACCAAATTTTTGCCAGTTTCAGAGTGGCAATTCTTCTGATTTTGAAAGGGAGAAAAATGCTTTTATTAAATAAATTCTTTAATAAAGTCTAACCTCCTTTTCACACTCTGGTCTGATTTTATATTATGTAGGAATGGAAGGAAAGTTAAGATTTTAACTTCTGGTGTATAAAACCGATGCAGTAAGGATATCAAAGCCAACAATATTTATAACCATCTCAAGTTTATTACATCTTAATTTATACAGAATATAATGCACCCCAGAAGCTAGGAAGAGTGATCAGACACTATTACTTTGACATCTGCCTTTTAATAATTTATTCTTTTTTCCCGACATATTTAACTGAATATGTCATACATATTTAAGACATATTTTGAACAAAACAGCTGCATCTCAGAAGAATTTTTAAAATAACCCTTTAGATTTTTTTTTTTTTAAAAACGCCCAAACATCAGGCTTTTTCCTTATTACATTGGGGACACTGACAAGTACAGTAGAATTTTTTAAAAAAATATAAAGTTCTCACTACATTAAAATGGTGTCTTTGGTGATAAATGAGTATTTCAAATGTGGCCATTTAAAAAAAAACCTGAAGATTTCTATCCAAAGGGAATAGACTTGCATACAGATACTTTAAAAAAAAAAATAGCACCCTCAAAACTAGCAGGATTAAAATTCTACTGACTCCTGGCTTTAATAAAATGTAGAGCTGTTACGTGCTTCAAAAATGATTTGGAAGGGCAATTTTGTGCCCATACTGATCCAAAAACGGCACCTCTTTGCAATTTGTTAAAAAGTCCGCTTTGACCGAGGCTTCTGCAGAAACGTAAAATAAAACTGCTGTTGCTTTAAGGTTCTACTTAAAGCCACTGGATACCTTAAAGTAACATCATTTAAAGTCTTGGGTGGAAACCTGGAAAAAGCTCGGCTGTTTTATTAAATAGCAGCAAAGTGCTTTGAGCACTTCCCAATCATTTTCAAGGCATGCACAAGAGTTGTTAAGATTTGCTTCCTGATTCTGAAAATAAAGGATCAGATGACGAAGGAGATGGGATCCTTTCACAGAACGAGGTTACCAGATGCTATCAGGCCAAATAAGGCATTGGAAGTAGCTCTGTTTCTGCTATATGCATACAACCATCCCAAATGGGGCTGCTTTAAGATGGGTGGACTTCAACTCCCAGAATTCCCCAGCCAGCCAATTGAAGTCCACCCATCTTAAAAGGGGCGAAGGTTGAGAAACACCGTTTTAGACAATCTCTGTATGTGGAAGAAGCGCTTAAGTTCTCTGGTCCTCCAGGAAGCATCCTAAGAAGAGCAGCAATAAATACAGGACAGATCAATGGCCCAGGAGGACCCTTTCAGAGTCAAGGTATTGCACATTTATCAAGGAGAATCTGGTTGAACCCGGTCACTCTGCAGCTGTGGCTGTATGGCCTGGTGTTGGCATAAAGCAGCGGAGACCTCCTGCAGTGGAACTTGATGGAGCCCTGAGGATAAAAAAAAGATGCTATAGGACTAAGGCATTATATAAATTAAAAAGATACGGTAATTGCAAGTTAGAGGGTTATTTACAGTGAAGACAAACTGGGGCACAGTTTACATATGTAAAGCAATGCCCAGTGATACAGCAAGTGTGCAATCAATTTTTTTATATTGAGATATTTATTGGTTAATTTGATCTGCCACCCATCTTGACCTGGGTCTACTCCAGGTGAGTCACAATCATAAAACGAAAAAAAATATGTAAACATAACAATAGCAAAGGAATAAAACAATGAACATGAAATTTAAAAAGATGGACGGAGGGGGACTGGGAAGCATAGGAGGGAGATGGGGTCAGTTAATTAGTTCAGCAGCCAGCATATATATTACTATGGACTACATATTCCATAAGATTAAAAAAGCTACAGGTAGTCCCCGAATTCACTTAGCGACTGTTTGAAGTCACAGCATTGAAAAAGGTGACCCAAATACGGTTGCTTGGCAACCAGCATGTATTTACAGTCAGGTCCATAAATATTGGGACATTGACACAATTCTAACATCTTTGGCTCTATACACCACCACAATGGAATTGGAATGAAACAAACACAATGTGCTTTAACTGCAGACTGTCAGCTTTAATTTGAGGGTATGTACATCCAACTCGGGTGAACGGTGTAGGACTTACAGCAATTTATATATGTGCCTCCCACTTTTTAAGGGACCAAAAGTAATGGGACAATTGGCTTCTCAGCTGTTCCATGGCCAGGTGTGTGATATTCCCTCATTACCCCAATTACAATGTGCAGATAAAAGGCCCAGAGTTCATTTCAAGTGTGCTATTTGCATTTGGAATCTGTTGCTGTCAACTCTCAAGATGAGATCCAAAGAGCTGTCACTATCAGTGAAGCAAGCCATCATTAGGCTGAAGAAACAAAACAAACCCATCAGAGAGATAGCAAGGACATTAGGCGTGGCCAAAACTGTTTGAAACATTCTCAAAAAGAAGGAATGCACCGGTGAGCTCAGCAACACCAAAAGACCTGGGAGACCACGGAAAACAAGTGTGGTGGATGACCGAAGAATTCTTTCCCTGGTGAAGAAAACACCCTTCACAACAGTTGGCCAGATCAAGAACACTCTCCAGGAGGTAGGTGTATGTGTGTCAAAGTCAACAATCAAGAGAAGACTTCACCAGAGTGAATACAGAGGGTTCACCACAAGATGTAAACCATTGGTGAGCCTCAAAAACAGGAAGGCCAGATTAGAGTTTGCCAAACAACATCTAAACAAAGCCTTCACAGTTCTGGAACAAGATCCTATGGACAGATGAGACCAAGATCAACTTGTACCAGAGTGATGGGAAGAGAAGAGTATGGAGAAGGAAAGGAACTGCTCATGATCCTAAGCATACCACCTCATCAGTGAAGCATGGTAGTGGTAGTGTCATGGCGTGGGCATGTATGGCTGCCAATGGAACTGGTTCTCTTGTATTTATTGATGATGTGACTGCTGACAAAAGCAGCAGGATGAATTCTGAACTGTTTCGGGCAATATTATCTGCTCACATTCAGCCAAATGCTGCAGAACTCATTGGATAGTGCTTCACAGTGCAGATGGACAATGATCCAAAGCATACTGCAAAAGCAACCAAAGAGTTTTTGAACGGACAGAAGTGGAATGTTATGCAATGGCCAAGTCAATCACCTGACCTGAATCCCATTGAGCATGCATTTCACTTGCTGAAGACAAAACTGAAGGGAAAATGCCCCAAGAACAAGCAGGAACTGAAGACAGTTGCAGTAGAGGCCTGGCAGAGCATCACCAGGGATGAAACCCAGCGTCTGGTGATGTCTATGAGTTCCAGACTTCAGGCTGTGATTGACTGCAAAGGATTTGCAACCAAATATTAAGAAGGGAAAGTTTGATTTATGATTATTATTCTGTCCCATTACTTTTGGTCCCTTAACAAATGGGAGGCACATATGCAAACTGCTGTAAGTCCTACACCGTTCACCTGAGTTGGATGTACATACCCTTAAATTAAAGCTGACAGTCTGCAGTTAAAGCACATTGTGTTTGTTTCATCCCAACTCCATTGTGGTGGTGTATAGAGCCAAAGATGTTAGAATTGTGTCGATGTCCCAATATTTCTGGACCTGACTGTACAATGGTTGCAGCATCTCTGGGTCATGTGATCACCATGTGCAACCTTCCAGCCGGCTACCGAAAAGCAAAGCCAATGGGGGAAGCTGAATTCGCTTAACAACTGCATGATTCACTTAACAACCGTGGCAAAAAAGGCCATAAACTCGGGGGCAACTCGAGAACGGTTTTGCTTAGCAATGGAAATGCTGGTCCCAATTGTCATAAATCAAGGACTACCTCAACTTACAACAGTTAAAAGTTACAGCACCAAAAGAAAACAGTGACTTATGACCATTTTTCACACTTTTATGACCATTGCAGCATCCCTGTGATCATGTGATTTACCCTCAGATGCTTGACAACGGATTCATATTTATGACGGCTGCAGTGTCCTGGAGTCATGTGATCCAGGGGTGGGTTCTACTTACCTTTACTACCGGTTCGGAATGAGAGCACGCGCATGGGCAGTAGCTTCTATGCATGCGCAGATTGTCCATTATGACATCCGGGTGGAGCCTCCCGCCACTTTTACTACTGGTTCGCAAGAACCAGACAGAACCGGGAGCAACCCACCACTGATGTGATCCCCTTTTGCGACCTTCTGACAAAGTCAGTGGGGAAACCAGATTCGCTGAACAGCCATGTTACTAATTTAACAACCGCAGTGATTCATTTAACAACCGTAGCAAGAAAAGTCGTAAAACGGGGCAAAACTCACTTAACAAATTTCTCACTTAGCAAACACAAATTTTGGGTTCAATTGTGGTTATAAGTTGAGGACTACCTCTACTATGCTAGGGACGGCTAACATAGGAGTTATTTTAAATTCACTGGGTCTCCATGTATTTAAATATATATATATATATATGATTGCGCTTCAGTGTTTGGTTGAAAATAATTTAAGCGTGGCTATTTTCCAGGGATGTGAGCAGAGATGAAATCCAGCAGGTTCTGACAGGTTCTGGAGAACCGGTGGCGGAAATTTTGAGCAGTTTGGAGAACTGGCAAATACCACCTCTGGCTGGCCCCAGAGTGGGATGGGAATGGAGATTTTGCAATATCCTTTCCCCAGGAGTGGGGAGGGAATGGGGATTTTGCACTATCCTTCCCCTGGAGTGAGGTGGGAATGGAGATTTTGCAGTATCCTTCCCCTGCCATGCCCACCAAGCCACACCCACCAAGCCACGCCCACAGAACCGGTAGTAAAAAAAAAAATGGATTTCACCACTGGATGTGAGTGTGTGAGTGAGCAAAAGTCAAGCGTGGAAGTGGGTGTAATAGTCCTTACCTGTGGGGGAGCTCGGATGGAGTTGACACCTTGTACAGGGAACCTGGTTTCCGCCTTGGTCCCGTTCATCTTCTGTAAGACTTGGAGGCAAGTGAGGAGAGCAAGGTCTCTCTGGAGTCCCTCCAGTGTTGTTGGGGTGTTTGACAGAACAAGACTGAGAGGCCAGACGTGGAGGATGGGATTCAGAGGCCAGGATCTGTCCACTTCCAGTTTTCTAGCAGCCTGGCCTGAGGGAGCAGCTGTCCCAAGGACAGAGGGAAGTTCTTCCAAACCATCCAGTTCTTCTGCAGCTATCACTGCCATCTTGGTCTACGGAAGAGGAATAAAAAATACTCCAATTTATCCACCAAGTAATCATTGAGAAAAAGAAAGATTTATTTCTCTTCTGGATAAAATTATCTGGAAGCAGTACAACGACACAATTTCAAACATGCAATCATCGAGAAAAAAAAGAAGAGAGAGATTACAGGTTATCCTTGACTTACAATCACTCATTTAGTGACTGAAGCTGCAACAGTCCTGAAAAAATTAATGGCTTACAACCGGTTCTCGCACGTATGACCGTTGCAGTGTCCTTGCGGTCACTAAGTCATAATTTGGGTGCTTGGCAATTGGCAGGTGTGGTTGCGTATCCCAGGTTATGCCATTTGCAACCTTCCCAACTGGATTCCGACGAGCAAAGTCAATGTGGAAGCTACCAAGAGGTCGTAAATCATGATCATATGTCACACTTAATGACCGTGGCAGAAAAGATTGTAAAATTGGGTTGCGGTCATATGATGCCTCATTTAATGACTGCATCGCTTAACAATGAATTTTCCAGTCCCAGTTATGGTTGTTAAGTTGAGGACTATCTGTACGGCAAAAAACTTATTCTGCAGCTTTTCCCATTTTTGTCTTAAATTTTTACTTATGTAGGGAGGCAAACACATGGGATTTCTTTAAATTCCCACAAAACTTACTTAGCTACCTAAGTGTCAGTAGGGTGTGTGTGTGGGGAGGGGGGGGGCAAATGATGAAAGCTGTGTCAACCCATTGTGACATAAACTCCACCCCTTTTGTGTGTTGTGAGGTTGCACACACATATTTATTTTATTATTTTACTGATTAGATTTATTTGCCACGCATCTTGCCTCAAAAGGACTCTGGGTGACTTATAACATTAAAAGTAATAAACGTAAAAAATAAATATTTCTGATACAAATAAAAATACAAAATTACAATTAAAAGATGGGGAGGGACTAAGACTAACAATAAAGAATAACAACTATTAGGAGAGAAAAATAGAAGTACAAAATAGAGATGTATCATATGTGTGGAGTGGAATAAAAATGTATATAATATCAAGGTAGAAATGTATAATAGTAAAGAGATAACTAAAATGTACAGTTCTCTATAGGGGAAAAAGGGGGGGGAAAGAGGGGGGGAAAGGAAAAGGAGGGGAAGAAGATGGAGTAATAGATTAAGACAAAGGGGGAGAAGAATAAAGTAATAACTGGAAGACCACTAAGAAACAATGCTTAAATATGATAAGTTATTTATATGTTGTGTGTTGTGTAAATGTCCAATATGTGTTCTAATAAAATTACAAATTAAAAAAAAAAAAGATGGGGAGGGAGGGAGCAGGATGCAAGGGGCGGAGGTGGAATCTGTCTAGCACAGGGGTGTCAAATTCGAGTTCATTGAGGGCCGTATCAGGGTTATTTTTCACTTTGGGGTGGGGGTGGTATGGCGTGGCATGGCCAGCTCAACATCACTCGTATCGGCGCCTGTGGTGGCCTGGGCGGGGCTTGGGGGATCCATCATCTCCAACGGAGGAAGGCGAGACCAGAGGAAGCACCAAACCCTCGTCCTTCAGAGCAGCCTCGCCGTCCCTTTCAGGCCACACAGAGGACCCCTGGAAGGTGGTGCAGGCTGTCCAGAGCCCTAAGCAGCGGAGAGCAAGAGCCCAGTCCGGCCCTCAAGCTCCCAGGGCACCGGGTCCCCACAGCCCAGCCCAGCCCCGCTTCCACGAGGGGATGCCTGGTTGCGTTTATCTCCTCCTCAAGGCTGCTGCTGCTGTTCTCTCTCCTTGGCCATGTTGCTCATGATGTGTGCCCCGGGGGAGGGAGGGAGGCAAAGTGTGTGGGTCACAGGGAGGCCCACTCCCTCTCCACGCAAGGAGACCCAGCTTTGTAACCAAAGCATCCTCAGTGAGAGGAGACCGCCAGGAGAGGTCAGACGAAGGAAACAAAGGGATGGTGAAAGAGCAGCAGGGCTGCTGGTGGCCAAGTGCTAAGGCAAGACTTCCCTCAGACTCTCCCTCCCTCTCATAATCTCCTTCCTTCCTTCCTTCCTTCCTTCCTTCCTTCCTTCCTTCCTCCCCTTCCCTTTCTTCTTTACCCTTCCCTCTTCCTTCCCCTTTCCTTCTTTTTCCTTCCTTACTCTCTTCCCATCTTTCCTTCATTTTCTTTCCTCTTTCCCTTTCTCCTTTTCTGTCCCTTCTTGGATGCTCAAATGCAAAAGGAGGCCACCGGCCACTATGGCCTCCTGCGCTGTTTCCAGGGTGGCCCCGCGGGCCAAATCTAAGCACCCCGTGAGCCAGATCTGGCCCACGGGCCTTGAGTTTGACATCCCTGATCTAGCACCTACAGCATCATTATTCCTCTGTTATATCTGAAAGCAATTCTTTATAATCCTGTTTGAATCATCTTGAGGAAACCCTCCAATTTTGTCAATGCCTCTACCCAATCTGTTTTTGAGTCTTCGCCGACATCTTTTAATGCATTTATTTATTTATTTATTTATTTATTTATTTATTTATTTATTTATTTAATTAATTAATTAATTAATTTTTATACCGCCCCCTCTCCCGAAGGACTCGGGGCGGTGAGCATTTGCAGTCATAAGGACTAGAAACTCTTAAAAAGCACTTTAAAAAAAAAAACCTTGCTTAGGTCTTGGCCCAGAACTGCAGCATGTACCTCGTTTTGTTTCCAGTTTAAAACAAAAAAAAAAGAAAACACTTGGATGATTTTGTTCCTTGTTCAACTTGTTTCTCTTACCTTCCATTTCTTCCAGGTCTGTTTTATAATCCTAACCGCTTTACGTAACCTCTGGAAATGTTTCCTAGCTAGCCACTGGCGAACAGCTACCAAAAAGAGAGAGGGAAAAAAAATGCATTAAGAGAATATGCTAGAGGAGTGTTTCTCAACCTTGGCAAATTTAAGATTCATGAACATCAACTCCCACAATTCCCCAGTCAGTTATGCTGACTAGGAGTTGAAGCAGGGGTGAAATGCTCCCGGTTTGGACCGGATCACCCGATCCGGTAGTGATGGTGGCGGGTGGTTCAGAGAACCGGTAGCAAAATTCCCTGCCCACCACCCCATGCCCAGCTGAGCCGTGCGATCATCAGAGGCTTTTTTTTTTTAACTTTTAAAAGCATTTTTTCTACAACCTCTTCGGCTGAAAGAAAACAAAAAGAAAACAAAAGCCTCTGACTATCAGGCAACTCAGCTGGGATCGTCAGAGCCTTTTAAAGGCATTTTTTTACAACCTCTTCAGCCGAAGAGGTTGTAGAAAAAATGCTTTTAAAAGTTAAAAAAAAAAAAGTTGGCCATGCCCACCCAGTCACATTACCCGCCCCACACCAAGCCACACCTACAGAACAGGTAGTAACAAATTTTACATTTCACCACTGAAACGTGGTGAATTGAAGTGCATACAACTTGCAAGTTTGCCAGGGTTGAAAAACACTCTGTTAGTGGGACACAAATAGCAACTCTCTTATACCAGGACAAATGGCTCTTCTGACTTTCTTGGAACTTGGGAAAATAACAGAATAAGAGAGTTGGAAAGGATCTTGGAGGCCTTCTAGTCCAACTCTCTGCTCAAGCAGGAAACCCTACACCATTTCAGGCAAATAGCTCCCCAATCTCTTCTTAAAAATCTCCAGTGTTTTTAAGACTTTCCAGAGGGAAGGAGGAGGCGTTTCCCTAATTTGGTCCCTTTAAATTGAAATGTCCGGGATTGAACCTGCAAAGCAGAAGTTTCACTCTGAGCTATGTCTCTCCGCTCAAAGGACATGTAGAAACTCTTCCAGATCTCTTGGTCCTCCTCACCTGACTGGATGATGGTTGCAGACCACCTCTGCCTGGCAATTTTCTTCCTCCGAAACCTTCTCCAACAGCATTGGATGCAGAATGCTTTCTCTGATAAGATAGAAGCTCTTTGGAATTCGAGAAGCTCCAACTATGACAAAAAATGTAAAAAATATTTTCTTGTTGGACCTCGGTGTAGCCAAAACAGATTCCTCCCCACATACTCTCTTATTTCCCCCCAAAGTCAGAACTACATGGTCAGGGCAAATCCTCATCTCCTCTTTTCTGGTTTACAAAACAATTATAAAGTGGTGAAATCTGAACCGGTTTACTATTACTGTGGTGCATGATTTTTTTTTTTTACTTTTAAAAGCATTTTTTTACAACCTATTCGGCTGAATAGGCTGTAAAAAAATGCTTTTAAAAGTAAAAAAAAAGGCTCTGATGATCAGGCAGCTCAGCTGGGATCATCAGAGCCTTTTTTTTAACCTTTTAAAAGCATTTTCTTTACAATCTATTTGGCCGAATAAGTTGTAAAAAAATGCTTTTAAAAGTAAAAAAAAAAAAAGGCTCTGACGACCGTGGGGCTCAGCTGGGATTGTCAGAGCTTTTTTTTTACCTTTTAAAAGCATTTTTTAAAAGAAGCAGCAAGTGGGTAACCGGGCGATTGGATGGGCATGGGGGTGGGGGGAGTGGGGGGGGGGAAGAGGGATTTTTGCTTCTGGTTCTCCGAACCACCTGCCGCCATAGCTACCGGGTCGGCTGATCCGATCCGAACCGGGAGCATTTCACCCCTCAATTATGCCAATCGAAATGATTTTGTCTTTCCCCACATCCAAGATAGGTGGAGAGAAAGGAGAACGGGAAGGCCTGAATCTAAGTCACTAAAGTGCCTTGCCTCCACCTCCCAGGCTTGTTTTTCATATGTCTTCATGAGGGCTAGAAACCTTTGAAGTTACAAAACTTCTTCCGGGTGCGCTTCAAGGTTTTGGTTACCATCTTTAGAGCACTCCATGGCTTAGGATCTGGTTACCTACGGACTGCCTACTACCACCAATAGCCTCCCACCGGCCGGTACGCTCTCATAGAGAGGGGATCCTCTGGGTGCCGTCAGTCAAACAATGTCGACTGGCGGCCCCCAGGGAGAGAGCCTTCTCTGTGGGGGCACCTACTATCTGGAATGAGCTCCCCCCGGAGATACGGAGGATCCCGGACCTGCGCACCTTCCGCCGTGCTCTAAAGACCTTTTTATTCCACCAGGCAGGCCTGGCCTAATCTTTTCCCTTTTTCTTTTTTAATATGAAAATTTTAATCTGTTTTTAAATGATTGGGGTGTTTTAAATTTGTCTGGGCCAAATTGTTTAATTCGGTTTTATTTTGTTTTTAAATTTTGTATTTATGTATTTTATCACTTGGCTGTTCACCGCCCTGAGTTCTTCGGGAGTAGGGCGGTATATAAATCAAATAAAGATAAAGATAAAGAAAGATAAACTCCTATCTTGGCAAAATTCACCCTGATTCCAGCCCCGGACAACATTTTGTTTTCCTTTCCAAAACTCGCTGCATAATTCCTACCGTGGAGTTGGTCAAAAATACTTTGGTCATGCCACAAAACATGGGTAGGTTGGGTGATTTTGTTTCTCCAGGTGTGACGGAAGAATTAATAGGTTTCACTTCCCGAAGGATATCTTGGACCTTAGACTGCAAAGTGTCACATTCTTCTTCTATAGGAGGAGTTACTGATTTGCCTGTTAAGACAATTAAAAAAACAAAAAAACACAGTAAAATGTTTTAAAGTATTAGCAGTCACTGTGGGCCAAACTACATGGGTTTGAACCTAACAGGTTCTTAGTAAAATGGGACTGACTAAAATGTCTTGGAAATGGCAAAGCAGATGATGCTGTGGGATCTAAATATGCACAATCTTTCCCCTCCTGCATGGAATGGGTGCAGCGTTTATGGATTCTGTCTTCTTTATTGAATCTACAGGTAGTCCTTGACTTATGACTGACTGCTTAGCCACTGCTTGAAGTTACAATGGAAGAAGGGAGTTTTTATTTATTTATTTATTTATTTATTTATTATTTTATTAATCATATTTCTATGCCGCCCACTCTCCGAGGACTCTGGGCGGCTTACAACAATCGAGAGTATACTAAATAGCATATTGCCCCCAACAATCTGGGTCCTCATTTTACCCACCTCGGAAGGATGGAAGGCTGAGTCAACCTTGAGCCAGTGAGATTTGATCCGCTGATCTGCTGAACTAGTAGTCAGCTGAAGTAGCTGCAGTTACTACACTCTAACCACTGCGCCACCTCGGCTCTTATGACCCAGATTTGAAGTTAAGAGTGGCCATTCCCCCAGTCTGCTATCACGTAACCACATTTTGGCCATTGGGCAACCAGTCTGCATTGACTGTCGTTTGCAACATCCTGCGGTTATGTGACCATAATGTTTTTTTCCAGAAACTATTGTTTACTTTCAGTTTCCAGGGGGGAAAAAAAAAAGCCACACAGCAAACAATGGCTTCACTTAGAGACTGTGGTGTTCGCTTTACGACTGCAACTTTCTGTAAGGACCCGACTCAACTAGTTCCTCAGGAAAGTCAGACTCTTGAATCCGTTCGGGTGAATCAAAAGAACATTTACTGGGAGAAAAGTGATTGCAGGAAAGCGAGGCTGAATCTGAAAAAGCCCGCGCAAAGCACACAGCATTCTTTCGTTTCCCCAAGCCCAAACCCCCTGACCAGTCCACCAGCAGCTAACGTGATGCCATAAAGTTGTTATGGAAACTCTGAGGCGCTAGATAGGTAACAGGTCACCCTCAAAGCATGATAGCCATGAAGTCAGGCTGGAACCGGCCGAGAGAGAATCCATTCCATCTCCGAAGACAGTCCCCTCCTAATTCCCAAGCAGTAACAGTCACAGCAAAAGCAATAAAGCACTTAGACCTACCGTATTTTTCAGAGTATAAGACGCACCTTTTTCCCCCCTAAAAGGAGGTGAAAATTTGGGTGCGTCTTATACACCAAATGTAGCCCTGTCCACCCACTGGCCCCCACCCTTTGGCCTCTGCCTCCCAGCAGTTTACCTCCCTGCAGCAAGCAGCAAGAAGAAACAGCTCCTTTCAGCTTCAGAACAGCCTAATTAGCACAAATTGATTGCCTCCCGACTCTCAGCTGTTTTGCTCTCAGCTGTTTTGCTAGGGCCTCTGCTGCTTGCTACAAGGAGGTAAATTGCTGGGAGCAGATTTTTTTTTCAGGTGCTAATCAAGCTATGCTGAAAACAAAAATGAAGGTAAAGCAGGCTGTTTGCTGCAACGAGGCAAAATTGCTGGGAGGCAGAGGCAGAATTCTTTTTCTTCTTTTCCTCACCAAAAAGGTAGGTGTGTCTTATAGTTCGGAGCGTCTTATACTCTGAAAAATACGGTATAGACCACTTCACAGTGCTTTTACAGCCCTCTCTAAGCGGTTTACAGAGTCAGCCTCTTGCCCCCCACAACCTGGGTCCTCATTTGATCCACCTCAGAAGGATGGAAGGCTGAGTCAACCTTGAGCCTGGTGGGATTCGATCTGCCAAATTGCAGGCAGCCGGCAGGCAGCAGAAGTAGCCTGCAGTACTGCGCTCTAACCACTGCACCACCGTGGCTCGCGAAAATGCCAGTGAGCCTTCTCTCCCCCTCGCTCCCACCTTCCAACAGAATGGCAGGACATGATGGGGGAGCTGACACATTCACTTTATGACACACACACAAAAAAAAGGTCATAAAAACAGATGTGGACACGGGACTATCTGCTTAACAACCATCGTGACTTACGAGAGCAATTACGGGCTTAATTACACTAGTAAATCAAGGAGTAACTGTACACAACAGTCCCATGAGATGATGTACTTGCCCCAGCTCCTGCCCATTTTAACAGTTTGAAAGCATGCAAATGCAAGTAGATAAATAGGTACCACTTTAGTGGGAAGATAACAGCGTTCGCCTTGGCGTAGTCACATGGTCACATGACCACGGAAGTCTCTTCGGACTACGCTCGCTCCCTTGGCTAAGAAACAGAGATAAGTAGCTCCCCCCCACCCCCGAGTCGGACACAACTAGACAGGTGAAATCTTTACCTTTACCAATCCATGTAGTTTGGCCCCACGGCAGGGGGAGTCCTAATCTAAGCTTACCTCTACTAGCCAGCCTTGTTCTGCTAAAGCAAGGAGAGAAGGGTGAAGTGTGTTGCTTGGAGAGAGAGAAGCAAGTTTTGGGAAGAGTGGAAGAGGAATCCAAGGAGAACTAGGAAAACCAAAAGGGCAGTTGGAAAGAAAGCGGGCAACTCATTTGATTAGCTGACAAAATAATAATCAAAAACTAAACCAAACACCAATAATTATTCCCGGATTAGTATGCAGGTAGTCCTCGAGTTACGATCACAATTGAGCCCAAAGTTTATGTTTTGCCAAGGGAAACATTGGTTAAGTGAGTTTGCCCCACTTTTTTTTTTTTAATTTGATTTATATGCCACCCTTCTCCGGAGACTCAGGGTGGCTTACAATGCGTTAAGCAATAGCCTTCATCCTTTTGTATATTTATACAAAGTCAGCTTATTGCCCCCACAAACTGGGTCCTCATTTAACCTACCTTAGAAAGGATGGAAGGCTGAGTCAACCTTGAGCCTGGTGAGATTCGAACTTACTTTAATTTCAGACAGCTGGTGTTAAATTACAGTGCTTCTGTCTGTTGAGCTATCCAGGCTTCCTTTCGTACTTTACGACTTCATTTCATTTATTAAATTAGCAACATGGTTGTTAAGTGAATCTGGATTCCCCATCGACTTTGCTGGCCAGAAGGTCACAAAAGGGGATCACATGACCCAGAGGACACTGCAACCGTCATAAATATGAACCCCTTGCCAAGCGCCTGAATTTTGATTGCGTGACCGTGGGGATGCTGCAAAGGCCGTAAGCGCGAAAAATGGTCATAACTCACTTTTTTTTCAGTGTAACCTTGTAACTTTGAACGGTTGCTAAACGAACCGTTATAAATCGAGGACTACCTGTATTTAGGTGCTTATTTTTCTAAAAATAGTGACAAATAAGATGGACTTCCCTACCAGAAAGGAACACTGAGTTATTTGTAAGTGTGATTCTTCAAGTGATCATCTGGGAATTCATATATATTTGGCTAAAACTTTCCAGAGCAGGCGTCTCCAACCTTGGCAACTTTAAGCCTGGCGGACTTCAATTCCCAGAATTCCCCAGCCAGCTTTGCAGCCTGCCTGGGCTCCATTTTTGGCCACAATGGCCTCCTGCAGCCCTTTGCCAGTGAAAATGGAGTCCTGGTGCCCTCAGCTCTGTTTTTGCTGGCTGAGGGCTGCAGGAGGCCGTCACGGTCAAAAACAGCCTCGACGAATGATGTCAAGCTAGCCACTCCCACCCTGGCCATGCCCGACCACCACCATCCTGGCCCCCTTAGATCAAACCCAACCCTGATGATGCGGCCCTCAATGAAATCGAATTTGACACCCCTGGCTCAATCACTCTCTCTCTCAGTTCCAGGAATGAGCAATGGCAAATCCCTTCTGAAAAACTTTGCCAAGAAAACTGCACATAAATGACTTCTCACAACTATTGCTTGTGACAGATGTTTAAGAGGAATGTTCTGCAAAATGTAACCCAACTTAACCCTTACAGCTCAATTCCTCATGCACTATGACTTCTGAAATCTGCAAATTCACAAATTTCAGAAAACATTCAGAAAATCGAAAAGCAAAGGGAGGAATATGAAGAATAGAGAAAATGAACAAAACATTTAAAAAATGGAAGAGAAGCTTAAAGACATTGAATGCCCCAAGCTGATAAAGTCATTTAATCTTAGAGATAGTTGTGAAGAAGAAAAAAATAATAATGAAACTTTGACTTTGGTTTTGTTGATTAAAAAGATTTGGTGTTATAGTAAAGGTAGGTAAAGGTTCCCCTCGCACATATGTGCTAGTCGTTCCTGACTCTAGGGGGCGGTGCTCATCTCCATTTCAAAGCCGATGAGCCAGCGCTGTCCAAAGACGTCTCCGTGGTCATGTGGCCGGCATGACTAAATGCCAAAGGCGCATGGAACGCTGTTCCCTTCCCACCAAAGGTGGTCCCTATTTTTCCACTTGCATTTTTTAAGTGCTTTCAAACTGCTAGGTTGGCAGAAGCTGGAACAAGTAACGGGAGCTCACCCCATTACGCGACACTAGGGATTCGAACAGATGCAGTGGCTCACTGGCTAAGACGCTGAGCTTGTTGATTGAAAGGTTGGCAGTTCAGCGGTTTGAATCCCTAGCGCCGCGTAACAGAGTGAGTTCCCGTTACTTGTCCCAGCTTCTGCCGACCTAGCAGTTCGAAAGCATGTAAAAAATGCAAGTAGAAAAATAGGGACCACCTTTGTGTAACAGCGTTCCGTGCGCCTTTGGCATTTAGTCATGTCAGCCACATGACCATGGAGACGTCTTCGGACAGTGCTGGCTCTTCAGCTTTGAAATGGAGATGAGCACCGCCCCCTAGAGTCGGGAATGACTAGCAAATATGTGCGCGGGGAACTTTTACCTTTACCTTAATTATATATTAATGTGTAAAAGCAAAAAGTTGATGTTGGAGTGTGTTTGTCTTATACTGTGCTCAGAAGAGTTGGAAGTCAATCCCCCTTTTCTTTCTTTTTTCTCTTTCCCCTTGTATCTCACACCCCCTTTCCCCCTTAATTTCCTATTTTTTCTTCTCTTTTTTGTATTTTATATAATAAAATAAAACCTTAATAAACATGAAAAAAATAACCTTAGAGATAGTCCATGCTATTACCACTTAGAGTAAGCTTACCATTCTCTGCATCAGGGGAAAAGTTATTTCCTTGACTGGACGTTGCTCTCAGATTCCGTTTCTTTAATTTCTTCAGCAGCCCATAACGTTCTAAAAAGCTTCCGAAGGAAATCCTGCCAGGAAGCAGTAGGGGGGGGGGGGGGAAATGATCTGATGCATAATCCAATTCTGTCTACTTCTGTACAAACAGCTCTCGGCTTATCACCATAATTGAGCCTGGAATTAGGGTAATAAGTCATGCCAATTATTAATAGCAATAGCAATAACATTTAGACTTATATACCGCTTCATAGTGCTTTTACAGCCCTAAGTGGTTTACAGAGTCAGCATATTGGCCCCAACAATCTGGGTCCTCATTTTTACCTACCTCGGAAGGATGGAAGGCTGAGTCAATCTTGAGCCGGTCAGGATCGAAATCCTGACAGTGGGCAGAGTTAGCCTACAATACTGCATTCTAACCACTGAGCCACCAGGGCTGGCTTGCTTGCCTCCTTCCTTCCCAAGGAATAGCACTTAGACTTATATACCACTCCACAGTGCTTTTACAGCCCTCTCTAAGCGGTTTACAGAGTCAGCCTCTTGCCCCCAACAATCTGGGTCCTCATTTTACCCACCTTGGAAGGATGGAAGGCTGAGTCAATCTTGAGCCGGTCAGGATCGAACTCCTGGCAGTGGGCAGAATTAGCCTACAATACTGCATTCTAACCACTGCGCCACCAGGGCTGTCTTGCTTGCTTCCTTCCTTCCCAAGGAATAGCACTTAGACTTATATACCACTCCAAAGTGCTTTACAGCCCTCTCTAAGCGGTTTTACAGAGTCAGCCTCTCGCCCCCAACAATCTGGCTCCTCATTTTACCCACCTCGGAAGGATGGAAGGCTGAGTCAACCTTGAGCTGGTGAGATTTGAACTGCTGAACTGCAGCTAGCAGTCAGCTGAAGTAGCCTGCAGTACTGCACTCTAACCACTGCGCCACCTAGATATTCTCAGTGTGCTCAGAGAAAGAAATATCTGTGTCTACCTAGGATCGAGCTCACAGCCTCCTGATTGTGAGGCGAGAGCTCTACCTCTAGGCCACCGCACCACAGGGCATTGAGAGAAAAATGCAGGAAAAAATAAAAAGTCAGGAAAATTATAAATAAGGAAAGAAATGCAACTTCTTGAGTAGCTTTACCTAATCGGAAAGCCAGCTGCACTGATGTTGACGGTTTCTACAATGCCGCACGCCTCCAACTGATGCAGAACCTGGAACAGAAAGAAGCTTTGAAGAGCACACCACCCGAAAAACTGTTTCCACTTCTGGGGACTACACTCCAAGAGGGGTTCAGAGACAGAAGGGCCTGAGAAGGGCAATGAGAATCATAAGCGGTGTAGAAAACTAAATCCTACAAAGGGAAATTGAAAGTCCTGGATATGCTTAATCTTGATAAAAATTGATCTAGAAGTGATGTGATGAATATCCGAAAGAAGCCCAAAAGAAGGTGAATACTTCTCCATTCTCATTTCAGAGCTTAGAATGGATTTTAATTACCAGGAGGCAGGTTCTAATTGAAGGTTAGAGAAAAAATCCGAAGAATAAGAGTACTTTGACAGTGGATGTGTTCATTAGGGGCAGGGGTAAAATGCTACTGATTTGGGTTAAAAAAAAAGCTATCGGTTCCTCTCAACCGGTATTTCTGACAATCAGCTGTGCTGCACGGTTTAGCTTTGCTAGAAAGCAGGAAATCCTGCTTTCTAGCAAAGCTAAATTGCGTGGCACAGCTGATCCCCCCTCCCCGCTGTTCTACTTACCCAAGCCTCCTTTTGGCACGTACTGCACAGAATGCGTTTGGTGCGCAGCGTACATGCGCGGCCAGCTAACTGGTAGTAAACTGGTTCGGATTCCACCAGTGATTAGGGGTGCTTTAATTTGAATTCCTGCTCTAAGAGAGGAGTTAGATTAAATAGTGTATACCCCCCTTCAAACTGTATTACTGGAGAGTTAGATAGCTGACATATGCTAAAACAAGAGATTTTTGGGGGGTAAAAGATAGCAATAGCAATAGCATTTTGACTTATATACCGCCTCATAGTGTTTACAGCATTCTCTGGGAAGTTTACAATGTCAGCATTATTTGTGCCTTGCCCCCGACAATCTGGGTCCTCATTTTACCGACCTTGGAAGGATGGAAGGCTGAGTCAACCTTCAGCAGGTCAGGATCAAACTCCTGGCAGTGAGCAGAGTCTGCCTGCAATACTGCATTTTAACCACTGAACTACCAGGGCTCCTCAACCCAGGAAAGGGCTGGTGGTATCAGCAAAACCAACAGATCCTTTATAAATATTTCTGGGATAATGGGGTTATGCCTTTGTCACTGTGTTCTTTTATTTACCAGCTGAGCTCATTATTTCTGGACTGTCAGACTTTCCGTAGCTTGCCAACTTATCAGTAAGCTACGTGTATCCGCATCCACCCCACATTCCATTATTACTATTCTTCCCTTTGTTCTCTCTGCCAGGAATGGTCTGGCAGAGGAAACGCTGCCAAGATGTAGCTAATTAGATAGATAGATGTTTTGTTACTTTTACAAATAAAAGAGTTTTATTAGAGAATACTTCTTCGGGTTTTATTTCAGAATATTGCAACTTGGAGAAAGCCACAGTCCATCCTCTAATTAATCAGGGTGATCATCTCATAGCCAGGATGGGATCGATCAAAACCCTGACAGCCTTAATTTTGAAAGACAGAAGAAATGTAAAGAAAGGACTCCACAAAGTAGAAGATATTTGATATGGATAGATGAGAATATTTGTCGCTCAGGGAGGAATTATGGGATCCTTGTCGGTCTCTGAGCTTGGTGGTTTTCTTGCAGAAGTTTCATTACCGAACTAGGTAACATCATCAGTGCTAGCATGCTCTCCCCACTTCAGCTATAACTAAATGAGTGTTAAGGGCTTCCCTTTTTTATAAATTAGTTGGTGCAATCCTTAGTGGTGGCCTTCTTGAGCTCCATTTTTGCTGGCAGAAACACTATGGGCTGGTCCTTTGCTGTTTCCAGGACGGTCCCGCGGGCCAGATCTAAGCACCCCGCAGGCTGGATCCAGCCCGCGGGCCTTGAGTTTGAGACCCCTGTCCTATAAGGTGCCCTTGGGGGTGGAGGGGAAAACATAAATCAATAAAAATTAGTGTACAGGTCACCTCCTCTTTTCTGAAAAGGGCCGCCTTGCAGTCTGCGTTGGGCTTAATGCACCGGATGTATTGCGGGGTGGTGCTGTGCAGGATCTCCATCAGCTGCTCGAGGGAACCCTGCAAGAGAAACAGGAGAAATGGGGCCATGAGGGTTTTGAAAAGAAAAAATGATCTGCAGTGAAACGCTGCAGCGTAATGCATTCCTGTTCAAAGTTGCAATTCATTAGCAGGGCTCTTTTCTAAAGCATCCCAAATATATATTGTCTCCTGCAGGGGTGAAATCTACTTACCTTCCCTACTTGTTCGGAAGTGCGCACGCGCGTCATGTGCGATTTTGGACCCCCTGCGCATATGCAAAGCCTTCTGCACATGCGCAGAGAGTAAAAAACGACATCCGGGCAGGTGGGTGGAGCCTCCCGCGGCCGCCGCTACCGGTTCTCCGAACCACCTGCCGCCGCTGCTACTGATTTGCCCGAACTGGTCCAAACCGGTAGCATTTCACCCCTGGTCTCCTGGTTTTATATATATTCCTTCCCACTGCAGCCGGCAGTCTGTGCCTGCTAAGCTCATCGGAATCACGCCTCATAAGAAGCCTGGGGGAAGCAGGATGTGAAAGCAAAGCAAAACTGGGAGAAGTAGGACACTATGCGCTCACAGGGAGACCAAGGGACTGACTGGAATAATTTGTGATTTTTCCTGCTGGCTTCCCCTATGTCTTTGCTTAAGGGAAGCCTGCAGATCATGTGACTGTGGAGTGGTGCTGTCATCCTAAATGACAGCTGGTTGCCAAGTGCCCAAATCCTGATCATGTGACTGCAGGGTCCTGCGATGGTCAGAACTTCAAGGACCACTCAAAAGTAAAGGTAATTCTTGACTTACGACAGTTAGAAGTTACAATGGCAGTGAAAAAAGTGATTTATAACCGTTTTTCACACTTATGACCACTGTAGCATCTCCAGGGTCACGTGATCAAAATTCAGATGCTTACCAAGTGACTTGTATTTATGATGTTGCCATGTTCCGGGGCCATGTGATCCCCTTTTGTGATCTACTGACAAGCAATGGGGAAGCCAGATTCTCTTAACAGCCATGTTACTAAGTTAAGAACTGCAGTGATTCACTTAACAACTATGGCAAGAAAAGTCATAAAATGGGGCAAAACTCACTTTACCACCGTCTCACTCAGCAACAGAAATTTTGGGCTCAGTTGTGGTCATACTGTAAGTCAAGGGCTACCTGTATTACTTATTCAGTTCTGTTACAATTTCAAATGGTCACTGAACACAAAGTAAGTGAGGACTACCTACACTTTAATGATTTGTCCTCTACTTGTACAACATCCCAAAAGACCATCCTACCTCTCTTACCTGTGATCTCCTGTTCTAAGAATCTCACTTCCTCCTCTTCCTCTGGTTTAATAAACACAGGTTTTGGGCTCACTGTTGTAGGAGGAAAGCATGGGGGAGGGGGGGAATGAGGCACAACCTAAACTGAAATCTGTAAATGGGATGAACCTTAAATTTTGAGACGACTGTGACAAGTGCAGGTTTTGCTTGAGTCTTTGTATCATTTTCGTCAGGTTTGGTGTTTGTCTCTTCTACGGGAAATAATTTCTGAAGCAAGGCGTCCTGGGATTGTTGCAGCAATAGGACCAACTCTGGGGGAACGGGATCCTGTATTTTTAAAGAAAAATCAGAAGCAGACAAATTATCAGACTTTATCATAGTGAACCATAAACATACAGAACAAGCCTAACTACATTTAAGTGTTGCAAGAGAAAGTGCTTCTGATAAAAATTCCAGTCTTTGTTCCACCCCCAATGCATCTTGCAGGGGCTGGTGTTCCAAAGGGCGGGTGCCACCACAGAGCAGGCCACTTCCTAGGTCCTATCAGATGGCACTGCTTAATGGATGGAGTATGGCCACTCCAGGCACAAACCATGAAGTACAGAAAGGTTTATCTCTGTCTAACTTTTTTGTGGGTTTGTAAGCAAAAGCTGTTGCCACACAAAAGCTTCAGAAAGGAGACCCAAACCAACAGCCAGAGATATGTTCATTTGTGCACAAAATTTAAAATTTTCTGGGGATGATGACTTCATATTATTGTTGGAGGAACTGCAGGAGAATTTTTTCCAGCCCCTTAAAAAAAATGGTATGAAAAAATATTCATATGAATAAATGTTATCTTCTGCATTCTGTTGGCCACTATGGTCAGTAGATGATGGTTTAAATTGGTATTGTTCCCTGTTACCAAAGATTCAAGCAGCATGTGCAGGGACCTTCTCTGTGGCAGCACCTTTCCCATTTTTACAACTCACTTTTAAAAGGGTGACATTTGTTATATCAGAAAATAGTAAGAAATATGAGAGACAGAGGGAGGGAGGGAGGGAGAGAAAAAGAGAGAGATGAACTAAGGTTTACTTTATTAAATAATTGGATGCTTTTCTTTAATTGCCCATCTAGTAAACCTATCAAAAGTTTTCTTTTACTGAAGAATTAAATACAATGGAATTTGATTTTGGCCTCATTTTCAAATGAGACTTACCAAAAAACAACTGAGAGGTCTCTGGTTTCCCTGTCTCTCATTTAAATTAAGAAACACAAGTGATAACCAAACATACCTTATTTTTTTCCACCATACTCTCAATTCGATAGCAGACACTACCAGCGTAATGGGATACGATGAAGTTTGGCTCCTTCCTAAATTTGTCTCGGCTTACGCAGGTGTTCTTGGACAGAGCAATCTCAATCCGACTTTGAAACTGTGCAGCATTGGAGGTCCAGTTAAGGCGACAGGCCTGTCAAAGAAAAGAGAGACACAGTGGGGGAAAGTTAGATGGGAGGGTGGGAAGAAGGAGGAGGAGGAGGAAAGAGGACCAAAGCCAACCAAATTTAGACATAGATGAGTATTTTGCAGCAGTCCAAAAAGGGGGAAATCCAATACCGTGGTCAATGTCTATGGAGGTTCTTTGAAGACAGCAAAGTCCACATTCTGGACAGAGAGAACTGCTGGTTTGAAAGAGGGGGTCAAACAGGCCATCTATATCCAAATTGAACAGCCCGCTCTCAACAGATGGGGAGAGATACGACACCACCCATCTCCTGTTTACAACACAATCCTTTTGGCAGTTCCAAGAAGTCTCCACACCCATTTGCCTCACTCAGGTAACCCTGAGGACACAGATAAACCTCCAGGTGGCCTCAACAACTCTCCAAAAGGATGCAAATGACCAGCTGTCTGCAAGGAGTATAAATATTTCCATTCCCCACCATCCAGCCAGAGCTGAAGAAGTTTCTTGGATGAGAAGTGAACGATCTTCAAGGAAAAAAAAAGAAAGTCCAGTGGCCTCTTGAAAAAGCACCTTTGGGACAATGCTGTGGTCTTTAAATCAGGCATTCCTTTATGCCTTTTACATTCCTTTTTTCCCTTATGTCTTGTATTACATTGGTATTGACTTACTGATTATGATTGAATGGACTTTATTTGAAAGGGAAGAAAGGAAAGCTTTGGACCCACCTCATTAAGCAAGGAGAAGATGCTAACAGGATTCCCCTCAATGGCGTCCAGACAGGTTTGATTATCTTGGTAGTTTACAAAGGACCATTCAAGACCTTCCTCGGCATATTCTTCCTGGAGGAATCAAAATCAGGAAAATAAAGAGAGGAGGGAGAAGATAATTTTAATTTGTCCAAAGTCCCTGGGACACAACAACTGATACTTGCAGAAGAATCCTTGGAGAAAATTCACTAGCAATTACCTGTTGAGCCTTTAGAAAATGGCCGACAAAATGCTGCTGCAGTTTCTCATTGGCATAGTTGATGCAGAGCTGTTCCAAGTGGTTTTCCACAAAAGATTCAAAACCGTAAACATCTAGTAGACCTGGAGGTGAAGCAAAGTCAACGGGGAAGCCAGGTTCTCTTAATGACCACGTTTCACTTAACAACTGCAGTGGTTCCCTTGACAACTGTGGCAAAAAAATGTTGTAAAATGGGGGAAAACTCACTTAACAACTGCCTTGCTTAGCAATAGAAATTTTGGGCTCAATTGTGGTTGTAAATCGAGGATTACCTGTAGCCTCATCCCAAACCATTTAAAGGCAATAATCAGCACCCTGAAAGAAACTGGGTGATTCCCAGACCGCAGAAGCTTTAATGTACAGAAAATTATTTAATGCAGATTCTAACTATTTCTGCCAGCAGTTATGTACCCAAGATGGCCCCAAATATTACCTATGAAGTTGTTCCACATGGAATTTGAGGCACAGATGCTTTCGTTGATCACAGACACCAGCCAGTCAAAGATCCTGCAAGAAAGATGAAAAACTGTATCACTCTAATCAGCAGAAGCAGATATGCTTTTACATAACAACAAAAAAGCTGGATATACAAATACTGAGTAAGAAATAGAATAACAGAGTTGGAAGGGACCTTGGAGGTCTTCTAGTCCAACCCCCTGCCCAGCCAGGAAATCCTACACTACTTCAGACAAATGGTTATCCAACATCTTAAAAACTTCCAGTGTTGGAACATTCACAACTTCTGGAGGCAAGTTGTTCCACTGATTAATTGTTCTCACTGTCAGGAAATTTCTCCTTATTTCTAAGTTGCTTCTCTCCTTGATTAGTTTCCACCCTTTGCTTCTTGTCCTGCCCTCAGGTGCTTTGGAGAATAGTTCGACTCCCTCTTCTTTGGGGCAGCCCCTGAGATATTGGAAGACTGCTATCATGTCTCCCCTAGTCCTCCTTTTCATTAAACTAGGCATGCCCAGTTCCTGTAACCGTTCTTCATAGGTTTTAGCCTCCAGTCCCCTAATCATCTTTGTTGCTCTTCTCTGCACTCTTTCTAGAGTCTCCACATCTTTTTTACTTTGTATCGACCAAAACTGGATGCAGTATTCCAAGTGTGGCCTTCCCAAGGCCTTATAAAGTGGTATCAACACTTCACGTGATCTTGATTCTATCCCTCTGTTTATGCAGCCCAGAACTGTGTTGGCTTTTTTGGCAGCTGCTGCACATGGCTGGCTCAGTTGTAGGCGGGTGTCATAAACAGGACTGAAGGCCCAATCTAAAGCTAATAATCAGTCATGAAGATTATGCTTTTCCTTCCAGGTTAGCTTACCCTCTGGGGGGGCCTCATTGAGAAAATGAGATATTAAGGAATAGAATAGCGAGAGATGCACAAACTGAGATCTATCAGCTAAAATCAGAAAGATACACGGCATCTTAAAATGTGATACGAGGAAGGAAAACATAGACTTTTAAGGACATCTGATGAACATTTGATGCTTTTATGAAGTATCTAAGGCAGTGTTTTTCAACCCTGACAACTTGAAAATGTATGGACTTCAGTTCTCAGAATTCCTCAGGCAGCCATGCTGGTATAAGGACTTACCTGGCATAAATCACCTTGGCCAGGCAGTCCCTCCTTGTTTCACACTCTGCCTTGAGGCAAGGCTTCCTGAACACCTGCCGTTGTCTCCCAGCGGTTATCGTCCGGATCCTGAGTGTGTCCAACAACTGCTCCCCAGGCACTCTTAAAAGCCGGGAAGCAGTCTCTGCAAAGCCTTGTTTTAAAAGAATCATTAAAAAAAAAAAATCAGCCACTATTTTCTTAAAATAGCCTAGCTAAATTTCTGCTCTACAGTATAAAGCTTAGGAGAATATATTGGCTTGATCTAGGGGTGGTTGAGAAATATGAAATGGGAAAACGACTATCCATCCTAAAATTTTCTAAGTCAGCCACTATACTCACACAGATACACACAATTTATACAGATACAAAGATCTGTTGGATAGCCAACTGGGTTCCTACATTATACAGTTAATCCTCAACTTATGACCACAACTGAGCCCAAAATTTATGTTGTTAAGTGAGAAATTTGTTTAGTGAGTTTGCTCCATTTTACGACTTTTCTGGCCACAGTTGTTAAGTGAATCACTGCAGTTCTTAAATTAGTAACACGGTTGTTAAGTGAATCTGGTTTCCCCGTTGACTTGGCTTGTCAGAAGGACTCTGGGATGCTGCAACCGTCATAAACCTGAGTCAGTTGTCAAGCATGCAAATGTAAATCACATGACCATAGGGATGCTGCAACGGTCATAAGTGTGAAAAATGGTCATAAGTCACTTTTTTCAGTGCCATTAACTTTGAATGGTCACAAAATGAACTGTTGTAAGTCAAGGACTACCTGTATTATGACGTACTTTGCTGAATAAGATCCAAATGGCTGGTTTTACACCATCTTCAGCCATGATTTAAACCATGATTCGGCAAAACTGAAACCAGATTGTTTTGAGATTGGAGGACTGGCTCTTGGGCAGCTCACCTTTGGCCAGGTCTTCTAACTCACAGAGTTGTGCCTCATCTTCTGACTCGCAGAACTGAATATTGCCCAAATGGAGAAGACCAGCTAGTATCTGTAACAAAGAGAGATTGCAAGCTAGTTGGTTTCTCTGTATTCTGTATGGGTGATGTTTTTGGGATGAACGAGGATCCATACTCAGAAACTGAGTTTACTGGAAAATGACCAGCAGAAGATTTGAAAAGAAACCCAAAGAACACAGACAAAAATGGCATGAAGCCAGGCTGTTGAAATTCAGGATATGCTAAATCACCCTCAGAGATCAATACCAGGGGTGAAATCCAGCAGGTTCTGGAGAAGCGGTAGTGGAAATTTTGAGTAGTTCGGAGAACCGGCAAATGCAACCTCTGGCTGGCCCCAGAGTGGGGTGGGAATGGGGATTTTGTAGTATCCTTCTCCCAGGACTGGAGAGGGAATGGAGATTTTGCAGTATCCTTCCCCTGGAGTGGGGTGGGAATGGGGATTTTGCAGTATCCTTCCCCCAGGAGTGGGGAGGGAATGGGGATTTTGTAGTATCCTTCTCCCAGGAGTGGGGAGGGAGTGGAGATTTTGCAGTATCCTTCCCATGGAGTGGGGGGGGAATGGGGATTTTGCAATATCCTTCCTCCCAGGAGTGGGGAGGGTATGGAGATTTTGCAGTATCCTTCCCCCAGGAGTGGGGAGGGAATGGGGATTTTGTAGTATCCTTCTCCCAGGAGTGGGGAGGGAATGGAGATTTTGCAGTATCCTTCCCATGAAGTGGGGTGGGAATGGGGGATTTTGCAATATCCTTCTCCCAGGAGTGGGGAGGGTATGGAGATTTTGCAGTATCCTTCCCCCAGGAGTGGGGAGGGAATGGGGATTTTGCAGTATCCTTCCCTTTCCATGCCCACCAAGCCACGCCCACAGGACCAGTAGTAAAAAAAAATTGAACTCCACCACTGATCAATACGTGCTGATTAGGTGGCCTGACAAATCCTATCACTCAATCCAACTGCTATTGAGCCAAGGTTTAACTGACCTTAAAAATATTATTCTGAGTGAAACTGTCAATACCCAGGTGGGTCATGGCCTCCCGAGTGACATCAAAGCAGTCTTCTACAAGGCAAAGAGACATTCGTTAGATGGAGGTTCTCTCTTTTCTCCTGAAGATCAGGTGGCTCTAATGTAGTCCCAAATCATGATTTGTAAGGCCTAACGATGATTTGTTGCGACAACTGAACCAACAGCCTTGAGTTAACATGCACTGGTACTGAATTAGGCCAAACTGCTGAAGTCCAAGAACAGAATGGATGGGACAAAAGCAAATTTATTTTCTCTTTCATGATAGAAAGAAAGAAAATATTGTCATTTTTCTTGTACTTAAAAATATTTTCCCTACTTCTCACATTAAACTTTGAAATTTGGAAATCCTCATGTTGTATATCCAGGTGGTACTGAGAGAAATGGGGATGGGTGGGGAGAGATTATTGGTTTTTGTGTTGGGGTTTCATCCCCAATAGCTGTCCGGGGTCACCAAGAGTGAGTTGGGCAGCCATATACATTTTCTGAATAAATAAATTTTCTAAAACCAAACCAAAATCTCAGGGCTTGCTGGGGACTAAATTCCAATTAAATAATCCTACTGAAGTGCCTCAGAAATTACTGTGTTTTCCCAAAAATAAGATCCTGTCTTTTTGAACCCCGAAATAAGTGCTTGGCCTTATTTTTGCAGAGGTCTTATTATTTTGGGGCACGTGGAGCAAGACGGGGCTCCTCTTGCTGTCTTACCTGATTTCCAGCTCTGTCTCCCTAACCCTAACCAGAGGAAATGGGGACCAGCTCCACATGTGTTTAAATATTTTTGAGGAGGGTTTATCTTCGGGGGGAGAGCTTATTTTAGTGCAAAAGCCCAATTGGGCTTATTACCAGGGGATGTCTTATTTTCGGGGAAACACGGTATGTAAAAATCCTTTCAAATGAATAGGACTGAGAGTTTTTTTAAAAAAGGCATAGGAGTTCATCATAGGAGTTTGTCTTTATCTTTGTTTGAATGCTAGCCTCAGAATTTGCTCCAGCAGTTTTCACCTAGTCGTCTTTTCTGTAACAGCAATTCATCTTAAGGAAATTATATTAATTACATTAAATTCTAGGCGTATAGTCTATCTCCTCCTTTTCTTTAAAAAAAGCCTAAAGGTCTTTATAAGATCTGGGTTTTCAAATGCTACCTTCTAGAGTCTCTTCAGAATTTGGAAGCCAACAGAAACGCGCAGTCTCCAGAAGATCCCATTCTCGGCGCTCATCCTGCGTGGCTCCCTTTGCAATCTGGAAAGTAAAAAAAAACAGCTTGGCAATTTCCCTCAAACCTACACTGGTGTCTTAGGTACTGTCTGTCATCCTCATACAACTGCATTTACAGAACCTGCTGAATGTGCTTATTGAATTAACCCATTTACTGAATTTGTACAGTGATGGTCGTCTTGCTTAAGTTGAATTTGAGCATATGGCAACTTCTAGCTTACATTTCTGGGATCTTCTGGTGGCCTCCTGTCCAAAGTCTAACCAGATCTGAGCCTTTTTCATTTTTTTTAGGTCAGCTAATACCGGCTAAGTGGTGGCATCTGCTAGAAACAAACCAAACCAGCTGTATAACATGCTACCCTCTGCACCCAAAGTTAATATTAAATCAGGCATACTTGTATTGAGAGAATTCAGAAACTAGGTTATTAAATGAGTTTAACACAATGGTGGCAACAGGATCAATATTTAAAAGCAACTATGGTTTAACCCAGGTCTTCAGACTTGGCAGCTTTAAGACTTGTGGACTTAAACTCCCAGAATTCTCCAGCCAGCATAGGTTTAACCATTAGACATATATTTCACAAGCATCTAGTAACTAAACTTACAGCTGAGAAGGAATGAATCTGGTTCGTACTTGTATGGGAGACCATAAAGAAATCCCAAGATTACAGGATAAATTGGAAAATTATGGTAAGAAGACAATGGCAACTCTCTTTTGCATCCCTTGAATGGCTAAATTTGCAATGTTCCTAGAAGTCAGGCTCAGTTCAAAGAATCTTGACTTTGCTGGCATATTATGGTTGGTCGCACAATCCGCCAGAAGCTTAGACTGGAGGCAGTATTTTTGTCCCCCTATCAAGTCCTTCCCAAGGATCCGGGATAGGCGGGTGTTTTTGTCTGGTGGTGTTAAAGGCATCCTTGCAGGGTGTAAGCTGTTCTGAGTAGGTACAGGTAGTCCTCGACTTACAACAGTTCACTTAGTGACCGTTCGAAGTTACAACTGTATTACTAATAACTGCATTGATTCATTTAACAAACTTGGCAAGAAAAGTCATAAAATGGGGCAAAATTCACATAACAAATTTCTCACTTAGCAACCTGTTTTGGGCTCCATTGTGGTCGTAAATTGAGGACTACCTGCATATCTCTCTCTCTCTCTCTCTCTCTCTCTCTCTCTCTCTCTCTGTGTGTGTGTGTGTGTATGAACACAAGACAGTGAATAAACCTAATATTCCTCCCTCCTATTTCCCCCCAAACAATTGAAGCAAACTGGTTATTCCACTGAACAAATCAGAACTAATTTTAAGTATCTTTATATGAATACAAATTTTTAAAAAGGAAGTTATTGATTTACGTTAAACAAACACAATAGAGATACAAACCTGGTAAAAAATATGGAAATTCCTTTCCTGAGGGGCTTGATAAGCAACTCTTGTTTTTTCCAGAAGAAAAGTCTGAACGGAAGCACTTGTTAAAAGCTGAGATCTGCAGAATGGCAGTTTAAAATTAAATTCATAGGCTCTCTAAGAGCAGTGGAAAACCAGCAAAATTACATTTCCCGTTCTATTCCAAAAGGCCTTTCTTCACACACAGGTTTTCCCAACCCAATGGATAGCAAAAAGCAAGGATTATAACTTCATGAATGCCAATCAATGGCCACAAATGCTGAGGATTCTGGGAGATGTAGTTCCAACATATTTGATGGGCATTCAAAGTAGACAGGATGGCAAATGGCAATGCATGATGCAAGCTCCACCCTTCTACCTTAATGCCGCATTGGTTGTCTTGCTTGTTTTGATCCCAGCCCTGGATGCAATGCATAAATCCTTGCCCAGAATACAGAGTCCTCAATTTACAACTAGTGGCTTAATGACTGTTTGAAATTACAGACAGTCCTCGACTTAAAACAGTTCACTTAGTGACCATTTGAAGTTTCCACGGCACTGAAAAAAGTGACCTAAGGACCGTTTTTCACACTTATGACCTCGGTAGCATCTCCATGATCATGTGATCAAAATTCAGATGCTTGGCAACAGATTCATACCTACGACGGTTCCTGTGTCCTAAGCTCTTTTGCGGCCTTCTGACAAGCAAGTCAATGGGGAAGCCAGATTCACTTAACGAGGATGTTACTAATTTAACAACTGCAATAATTCACTTAACAACCTGTGGCAAGACAGGTTGTAAAATGGGGCAAAATTCACTTAACAAATGTCTCACTTAGCAACAGAAATTTTGGGCTCAATTATGGTCGTGTTAGGACTACCTGTATTATAGGCCTGGAACAGCTACTTTATGGCCCCTAAAGCATTTATGACAATTATGAAGTGTCGTGCCACTTACTCCTCCCATGGCAGTCATGTGACCACATTTTGGGCACTTGGCAATCAGTGTGCCTTATGATCAGATGCAATGTGCCTCTATCATGTGACCATAACTTGTGACTTTTTTGCTGGTTTCTGGCATTTTTTTTTTTTTTGCTGGTTTCTGGCAAAAGACACCTGTTTGGAAGAATGGTTCACACTTATGAATGCAGCATCCATGTAATGATTGTGGATTTGCTTCACAACCACAGCAAATCACTTAATGACCACTGCAAAAAGTGTCATAAAATCAGGTCTGATCACGAGACCCTTGACTTACGACTGTAATGACTTAAAACCAGCAATCCAGTTGAAATCTGGGTCATAAATCAGGGACTGCCTGTATGACATCTTTCAAATATATTTTCCAAAGTTTCAGACTGGATTGGAGCTCAAATCCATTGACTTTTCAAATATATATATATATAAATACAGTATAAAAATTTATAAATATATAAATACAGTATATATAAAATATATTATAAAAATAAAAGTCGTGGAAGAAATGCTTAAGATCACCAGGAGGTGAACTGGACTCAAAAGAGAATGTATCTTTTTAACCTTAAATCTGAAACTTGATCATTGCAATATTAAAATAGAATATCACTATGTGAGTGAATTGACAATACCTGTTTAAGTGAAGTTGGATGTATTTCCCAAAGCGGCTGCTGTTGTTATTCCGAAGGGTGCATGCGTTTCCTGTGAAATTAACAAAATAAACTGGCAATATGCAAGACACACATGTCTATCACAAAGGTTAAAGGAAATATGAATTAAGGTAAAAGAGAAATTGGGCATTATGCTAACATGCAAGGGAATTTGACATAACATGCTGTGTAATCTTGGCTGTGATTTAATTGTGTGTGTGTGTGTGTGCGTGTGTGTGTGTGTGTGTGTAGCCTAAGATCCTGTTTCTTCTATAGTCTATCTAGCTAATAATGCTGAAAACAGGTTGCAGCATCTCACTATTCAAGGCAGGAAAGTAATGCAAGGCTCAGAACTGGACTATTATAATTTTTAAAAATCCAATTAGTTTAATTGCCTTACATCTTGTGGCCCTCAAGGTCCCCAAATGTGGTCACTCCTTTATATAATTTAGTGCCTTTTGTGAATCAACCAGTTGTGGGTTGTTGTTGGGTTTTTTTTACAAAATGTAGCTTGGGGCAATGTGGAAAGCCAGTCACACTTTTTTATTCATGACTGTGTTTAGACAATTTTTGTTGGGTATGTCTGACTTCATAATCGGCTGGAAAAAACTACATGCAAGAACTACGCCTTGAGGAGTATTTTTAAACTAAGAAGAACGCTTCTTGTTTCATCTAACAAGCTTTGTTCTTTTTGTACCTCTGCACAATATTGTAACATAAACATAAAGTTTGTATTGCAGCCCGTTTTTCACAGGTGTCTCAGCAAAACGGGCTACACTACAAAATTTATCCTTACATTACAATATTGCGCAGAGGTACAAAAAGAATAAAGCTTGTTAGATGACATCATAATGCACGTCTGATTATTCTGATAGCTTGCTATGGACATTTATGATCTGGAACGGTTTGAACAGACTAGATCAGTGTTTCTCAACCTTGCCAAGTTTAAGACAGGTGGACTACAACTCCCAGAATTCTCCAGCCAGCAGGGGGAATTCTGGGAGTTGAAGTCCACCTATCTTAAAGTTGCCAAGATTGAGAAACATTGGATCAGATTTATTTTTTAATTGAATTGGATTGTTCCGTTTGCTAGAGCATTGGTCCCCAACTTTGTCGGCTTGGCAGACCGGTGGGAGGAGAGGATGGATGGTTCTGTGTGAATGGCGGGCACGCACTGCTTATGCAGCCTAGTTCTGAACAGGCCTCGGCTTGAGGGTTGGGGACCCCTGTCCTAGAGCAAACATTTTGTTTATTAAAAAGATCATACTTACCAAAAGCTTCCATGACAGGATTGGAATCCAACACTCGTTGCTCTATTCTCTCCACTGTTATACTGCCTTCCGGGATGTCAGATGAAGCTGCAACAGTGGCATAAAACTTCATCAGGCAGCGGGAGGTCCATGTCTAGAAACAGATCTTGAATCAAACACCATCTTTAACAAGATCTGGAATCTCTCTTTAATCCTGATCCAGTACAGTTATGCAGATGCAAGAACAAACTGATTCCATTCAAGTCAAAACTGGAAGAGGGTGAAACTCAAAGCCTTAACTTCTAACACGGAAAAGTGGGTTAGAGTGGCAACCTTCTGAAGCCAGGTCAAAAAATCTGCTGGTTGCACATATGTATAGTTTGATTCAACCAGAAAGAAGCATGCAAAATTTCCCCAAAACAGTTTTAAAGAGATCTCAGCTTACCTTACCAGCACCACTTTCCCCGCTAACAATTATGGACTGATTGACTAATGGAATCTGGCTCTGGACATTTCGGTAGCTTTCTTCTGCCACCGTGAAAATGTGAGGTTTTAATTCCTAAGGAAGAAAAAGTACACAAGCAATTGGAAAGAAAAATGAAAACAGGCAATTCAATGGCAGACTGAAACCTTTCAGCAAAAGGGACTCAACAGTAGCATCCTGGATGGATGGTGGATTGCCATCTTGTCTGTTTTGATACACACACAACTCATGGACACAACTGGACATGAACCCTGTGGACTGAACCAGAATAGGAAAATTAACTAAAGCCAGGGTTGGCCTGTTCATGTGCCTTGGTTCTTGCCAATGCCCTGTCTTCTAATCTCCAACAGTAGTTGTAGTCTTTCTTTGAATTCTTCCCACACCGCAAGATCTGCTTGTTTTTACATTGTGCTCACTGATTTCTTACCCTGAAGCTACCAATACACATTGTGCTGGCGTAGTTTTGTTTATTAGATGGCCTGTCAGAGAGTCTATGTTTGTTAGGGCTAAGAAAAAATACTGACCTGAACTCATTCCTAAGAGAACACTAAAAGCTAGGTCTTTTCACTCCTAACTCATCACCTCCACCATGCACTGCACTGCTTCTCACTGGTCTCCCCCAATATATTTCAAAAAATTAAATGACAGAAAGCTTCAGTCCAATGCTTTGTTTTAAAATATGGGTACTAGCAATATTTTATTATAGGCCTGTATCAAGGTGTCGTACAAATCAGAAAAAACAATTGTAAAATTCCATGCAGCAAAATTACCGTATTTTTCAGAGTATAAGACGCACCTTTTTCTTCCCTAAAAGGGGTGAAAATTTAGTTGCGTCTTATACACTGAATGTAGCTTCCCCACCCACTGGCCCCCACCCTTTGGCCTCTGCTTCCCAGCAGTTACCTCCTTGCAAGCAAACAGCAAGAAAAAACAGCTCCTTTCAGCTTCAGCACAGCCTAATTAGCACAAGTTGATTGGATCAGCCTCCTGACTCTCAGCTGTTTTGCTCTCAGCTGTTTTGCTAGGGCCTCTGCTGCTTGCTGCAAAGAGGTAAATTGCTGGAGCAGATTTTTTTTTTCCTTGTGCTAATCAAGCTATACTGAAAACGAAAATGAAAGTAAAGCAGGGTGTTTGCTGTAACAAGGCAAAATTGCTCAGAGGCGGAGGGAGATTTCTTTTTCTTCTTTTCCTCACCAAAAAAGGTAGGTGTGTCCTATACTCTGGTGCGTCTTATACTCCGAAAAATATGGTACTTTGAAACTTAGCAGCCAAACTAGTAAACAAAGACTGAGCATGTGAAATATTGTAATAAGTAAAACCAACTGCAAATTACATAATTTGTGCAATGATGCCCTAGCACCGTGATGGCGAACCTATGGCACGGGTGCCGCAGGTGGCACACGGAGCCGTATCAGTGGGCACGTGAGCTTAGCTCCAGCACGCATGTGTGCGCTGGCCAGCTGATTTTTGGGCCTTTCTGTCCTACCAGAAGTTGGGAAACGGGCTGTTTCCGGCCTCCGGAGGGCCTCCGGGAGGGTGGGGAAGGCTGTTTTCGCCCTCCCCGGGCTCCTAGAAAACCTCTGGAGCCTGTGGAGGGTGAAAAACAGGCCTACCGGGCCCACTGTGCCATCATGTGCTAAAAGTGGGGGGGGGCATGTGCAGGGGCACACACATGGGCGACCTCGCCGCACTCCCCCCACTTTTGGCACACGACGGCAAAAAGGTTAGCCATCACTGCGCTAGCACATGTTCTGCTTAGTGCTTTATGCTGGCTGCGGAATTCTGGGAGTTGAACTCTGCACATCTTTGACTGATAGAAGAGAATATTTTGTTGAACTGTGGGGTCCAATGCTAGAGCTGATGACGTTACCTAGTTTGGTAATGAAACGTCTGCAAGAAAACCACTAAGCTTAGAAGGCATATTAGAGTTGCCAAGATTGAAAAGCATTACTCTAACATACAGTAACTAGAGTTTGGTTTTTCAGAAAGGCAGCAATCAGCCACTTCGGCATACCCACTCACCTGAAGACGAGCAACAGCGTGGTATTCTTTCATGAGCTCTTGTGAGTAGAGAGACTGAACTGGACGGAAGGGGTTGATGGCCACAAGGCTGCACCCCGCTTTGGTATAAAAGACATCGATAGCATATCTTGCTTGCAGACACTTCAGAACTAAAGATAGCAGAATGTTTTGTCAATATTTACTACCCGTTCTCTTTTGAACGATCTACTTTAGTTACCATTTTCAAAATACAGAACAGTAAGTCTCTGCCTCGTCTGCTAATGTCTTTTTGGGCAGACAAAGCTGATTTCACATTGGACTTCGCGAGCTTCAATTCCCCAGCAATTGCCAAGTTGGCTTGGGAATTTTGGAGTTGATGTTCATGTGTATAAATTCATAATATCAAATAGTGGCGTTATGCACAAAGGCATATAGATAATCCTCAACTTACAACAGTTCATTTAGCAACCATTCAAAGTTACAAAGGCACTGAAAAATGAGACTTATGACCATTTTTCACACTTACGACCGTTGCAACATCCCCATGGTCGCATGATCAAAATCCAGATGTTTGGCCACTGGTTCATATTTATGACAGGTGCAGTGTCCCAGGGTCATGTGAATCCCTTTTGCGACTTTCTGATAAGCAAACTCAACGGGGGAAGCCAGATTCACTTAACAACCATATTACTAACTTAAAAGCTGCAGTGATTCACTTAACAACTAAATTAAAGGTTGTAAAAATGGGGCTAAACTCACTTAACAAATGTCTTACTTAGCAACAAAAATTCTGGGCTTGTGGTGGTAAGTCAAGGACTACCTGTCATTTTTGCATGATGTTATTGTTGAAATGACGAATATCTCTGATGTTACAAGAGGCAACTCCTCACCTCAATTGAGCCTATTAAATCAAATTATATTAAAGGCGATACAATCTATACTGCAAACTGACTGTTGATTTCAAGTGAGAGAAAAATTTTCATGAACAGGCAAGTAACCCAATTGTGTGTGTGTGAAAAAGGAGTAGCTCTGAAGCAAATTGTTTTCTTTAAGAGAGTTTGAACTCTTACCAGTTGTGGTGGTTACAGGATTCACTTTGGTAAGGTCACTGATGCAAGAGAATTGTTGTTGGTCACTCAGAAAAGATTCAACTTCTTTGTCCAAAGAGTTATCGTCCCCATTGTGATGGGCGGTGAAGCCATTAGCCTAAAAGCAGAGATAGAAGAATTAAGATAGTGGTGAAATCCAATTTTTTTTTACTACCAGTTCTGTGGGCATGGCTTGCTGGGCGTGGCAGGGAAAGGATACTGCAAAATCTCCATTCCCTCCCCAATCCAGGGGAAGGATACTGCAAAATCCCCATTCCCTCCACACTCGTGGGGGAAGGATATTGCAAAATCTCCATTCCCTCCCCCCTCCTGGGGGAAGGATATTACAAAATCTCCATTCCCACCCCACTCTGGGGCCAGCCAGAGATGGTATTTGCCAGTTCTCCAAACTACTCAAAATTGCTGCTACCGGTTCTCCAGAACCTGTCAGAGCCTGCTGGATTTCATCCCTGAATTAAGAGACTAATGTAAGAGAGATATTATTCCAAACACTTCAGGATATCATCTACAGCAGTGGTTCTCAACCTTCCTAATGCTGGGACCCTTTAATACAGTTCCTCATGTTGTGGTGACACCCAACAATAAAATTATTCCTAAAACCATTGAAAATATGTGTTTTCCAATGGTCCTAGGTGACCCCTGTGAAAGGGTCATTTGACCCCCAAAGGGGTCCCGACCCACAGGTTGAGAACCACTGATCTACAGGAACCTAAATTTAAAACATTACCAGTATTTTTTTTTTTTAAAAAAATCCGCATTTCTGCCATGAAACCTTGTGAGATTTGCCTTCTGGTGTGATTTCTATCTTTTTCATTTTACATGAATTTTGCCCTTCTGGGTCCATGCTATCTCACGTAAATGGGTGCTCAGCATTGCAATACAGGTAGTCCTCAACTTATGACCACAACGGAGCCCAAAATTTCCATTGCTAAGCAAGACAGTTAAGTGAGTTTTGCTCCATTTTATGACCTTTGTTGCCACGATTGCTAAGTGAATCACTGCAGTTGTTTAGTAAGCAAATAACACTGACTTCCTCACTGACTTTGCCTGTCAGAAGGTTACAAAAGGTGATCCTGGGACACTGCAACCGTCATAAACAGTTAGCAAAAAATCTGAATTTTGATCAGGTGAGCATGGGGTTGCTGTAACAGTTGTAAATGTGAAAAATGGTCATAAATCACTTTTTTCAATGCTGAGGTAACTTCAAACGCTCTCTAAATGAATGGTGGTAAGTTCAAGATTAACTGTTGTTATTAAACCCTCAGTTTCAACGTTTGTTGACAAAGGAATTTGGTACAATGAAATCATATGCATCATGACATCTACATGTGTGTGACATCATGACACATGCAACATTATTTGCCTCTCTGCAATTACTAGGTTCACGAATCACAGTAAATTCTGGTTTAGAAAAATGTAGCTGTCAGGGCTCTGACGGATGCCCTAATTAAAACATGAGCCTTGAGCCAAGCTTCAAAAGAAATCCAACGGATTCATACAGTAATTGGAATGAATTGGATTGATGAATTGATTCACACAGGACTCTAAAGGTCTATGGAGATTCTCAGTCATCCAGGTCATAGTTGCCCCAAAGATGCTTCTCATCCAAGAAGCTTCTTCAGTTCTGACCTTAGAGCCCTGTCCCAAAGGTTTTTTTTCAAGAGGCAACTGGACTTTCTTGTTTTTCTTTGAAGACATTTCTCTTTTCATCTAAGAAGCTTCTTCAGCTCAGAGAAAATGAGAAGAGAAACAGAGCTCTGAGGCATCCACTAGTAAAATTTGTATGGTTTCATTAGGCACTAATTGCATGAACCCTTGTCATCATTTGGTATGTAAAGACTAACAATTTACAGGTAGTCCTCAACTTACAACAGTCCATAGTGTTGTATAGTTGCAAAGTGACCATTCAAAGTTACAAACTCAAAAGAAAGTTCAAAACATTCTTAAAGATCCAACTCATCCTGGACATCCTTTTTTTGAACTATTACCATCTGGCAGGTAGTACAGGAAAATAAAAACAAGGACAAATAGGCTGAAAAACAGCTTCTATCCCAGGGCAGTCACTAAATTGAATTCTTTTTTTTTTTAATTTGATTTATATGCCGCCCTTCTCCAGAGACGCAGGGCAGCTTACAATGCGTTAAGCAATAGCCTTCATACTTTTGTATATTTTATACAAAGTCAGCTTATTGCCCCCACAAACTGGATCCTCATTTCACCTACCTTAGAAAGGTATACACTACTGTATAGTGTAATATTAATGCATGTGAATGTGACGGATGTGTGTTTGTGTTTTATTTTTATAGTTATAATGTACACAAGATGGCATTTAATTTCGTTGTACAAGGTACAATGACAATAAAGTAAACTAACTAAAGGGCACTGAAAAAAGTGACATGACTTACGATTATTGTAGCATCCACATGATCACGTTGTCATAATTCAGACACTTTATGAGGGTTGCAGTATCCTGGGGTCATGTGATCCCCTTTTACGACCTTCTGACAAGTAAAGTAAATGGGGAAGCCAGATTCATTTAACAACTGGGTTACTAACCAAACAACTACATTAATTCACTTGGCAACTGTGGCAAGACAGGTCATAAAATGGGGCAAAACTGTCTCACTTAGCAACAGATTTTGGCATAATTGTGGTCATGCGTCAAGGACTACCTGTATAGTATTTAATTCCTTGCATTTTGATTTCAACTACCACATACCTACCATTTTCATCTGTTAATAACAATTTTAGTTTTAATTGTGGATTAATCGTCAAAATTACTCCATCAGGCTTTTTCAAACCTGCAGGTTTTTTTCTTGTGTGTGTTTCTGGCAGATAAATTGTATTTACTTTTAATTTTCTTCCAAATCTTCAATGTATTTTGGTAAGTGCTATGAAAGGAAGGACCAACTAATGCATGTTCATCCTAACCTGAAACCTGTGAAGCAGCTGTTTACAAAATATACAACACACACTGCTACTGTTGTGGACTGCCAGAGTTGAAGATAATCCAATAATTTTTCTCCAGTACAAGAGATCTGTTTCCAGATTGTTATACGCGCATTAGCAGAGAGAAGAGGAATGCCTGAAGGGAAAAAAGAGTCAGAACAATTTTGCATGGGTGTGGTCTGTGGAAAGTTTTATGAGGACAAGGGGGGAAAAAAAGTCTGAAAACATGCTTTTTGATTGCTAGCTTCATCCCACTTCGGAGCAACTGGCAGATCATAGCCTTTAAGCTACACTAGATACTTGCTTATTAATGCATAGAGTACGTTTATATTTCGCCTCCTGTTATTTTCTCTATTAAGATTCTTCCCTCAACTTCACAAAGAATTATATTGTACAATAATACAATTTATATTAGTTTCTTTCTAACATTATTATAATGAAACCATTATTACTACCATATATTTTAAGCAGAAAAGGCAGTAGAAAAACAACTGTTTCTTTTCATAGAAGTCTTATACTGGTATCTGCCTAGAAGCAGTTTTCCTCCTTCTGCATAAAGAAGGTTAGAAACTAGGAGAACGTGAGTTCTAGTTCTGCTTTGGACACAAAGCCAGCTGGGTGACCTTGGGCCAGTCATTTTCTCTCAGCCCTAGGAGTTAACAATGGCAAACAACTTCTGAAAAATCTTACCAAGAAAACTGCAGGGTAGTCTCTGAGAATTGGGCACAATTGAACAGAAGAAAAAGAAGTCTAATTATACCGGTAGTCCTTCAAGTCTCCCCTACAAAAGCTAATTGGTTCTAACTCTGTTAGCTTTTGTGCCAAGGCAAGGCCAGTTGTTATTATTATTAGGCAAACATTAAATTCTCTGCAAATTTGCCAGGAGAAAATGCTCACAAAGATCTTGATGGTCCATTTTTGCATTGCATTGCCATTTTTAAGCAAGTAAGTAGGTAAGAAACAAGACATATAAGCCATAATTGAATTAAATATTCCATTTTGTATATCAGAGTTTCCAGCTTAGAGCTATGTAAGAACCAAGTAATGTTTATTATAATTTGATAGGATAGGACAGGACAGGACAGGACAGGACAGGACAGGACAGGACAGGACAGGACAGGACAGAATAGAATTCTTTATTGGGCAAGTGTAATCAGGCACACAAGGAACTTGTCTCTGGTGCATAAGCTCACAGTATACATATAAATATGATAAAACATAGGAATGAATGTTTATGGTTGCATGTGCTGAGCAAATCCTGGAAAAGTGCTAATTTTGGACATCTTAATACTATTAACCATTAATCAGCATAGTGTATCAAGCATAGCCGATCAGCCTTAAAAGGAACCATGGTTTATACAGATTTATGGAATAAATCACCAAGGTACAGGGAAGATCTACTGTACAAATCATAGTGGCTGAATTTATCAATCATATTAAGAATAATTTTTACTTTCTGGGTTTTGAAACACCAACCAATGCAGTTAATAGACTCTGCCTTAGGGTTTACCATGGCAATTTTTGATTACCAGAATCTGATTCCTTTATTCCATATGCAAATACGGCCACGCTTTGCCTCTTGCCAACCCAGACAGTGCAAAGAAAGGGATTAGCATTGACCTCAAGTATTGGCTTGGGAATGAATCAAGACAACACGCGCTGGCTTCTGATTTTATAATTTAATTTAAATCAAGCTAAACCCTCACAGTCAAGAAGAACAAGCTGCTGTACTGTTTATAACAATAAAGCTACTCTAGCCTTAACAGTGAAGATCTATTGTTATATACTATGGCTTTTTGTGAATTTTATCTGTCCTTCAAATAACCTACAATCCATACAAAGGGCTGTAAACAAGTTTTCTTCTCTGACCTCACCCCAAACTGGTTTAAAACAAAACACACATGCAAAATTCAGGATTTAAGGATATAAAAACAATCTTCTTGAATCTTTTAATTCTTAATACTTGCCCTCTTTTAATTCTTAATACTTGCCCTCTTTTTTTCCTGCCTCAGATTAGAACTTCATTTAGGGGACACAATATTTCTGGGAGCCCCCATGAATAAGACTTAGTGGAATTGCAGTATAAACACTGGGTAGAAGCTCTCTGATTGAAAAAAAAATCCCTTCCTTTTGATGGATCTATTGAGAAGCTGATGGCCACAGAAGACTACTACAGCATTGTAGCACTAGTTCCAATTAAAAACATAAACACAGGAATAATTCTTTTAAAGATCAGTCTTAGCCTTAGGCCAAATTTGCCCACTGGATATTCATCAAGGAAGAAAAAGATAAGTAGAGAAAACCACCAGTTGCTAAGGGAAATGGAGACAAGGTTTGGATTTGAGTAGGATGTTGGGGTCCCATTGTTAAGCAACCCAGCCCAGAATTGGCAACACAAGCTGATTGAGGTTAGAAGAGTTTTGTCCCAGATTTTTAGTGGGAGCATTCCAGATAGCAAATATGAGGCTATGGTCATGATTTATAGAACACAATATATTTAATTGGGTTCATATACCATGTGTAGCCATAAACAAGGTTTCGTCAAGATTTCCACATTTCACCTGTTATGCCAAACTTTTAAATAGGTAACAATCTCAAACAGCCTTAAAAATTCCCCAGTTGCCTTCATCTTTTTCATTAAGCCTAAATCTTTAATGTAAGAAAGTCCTACTGAAATCTATGGGACTTTTCATATAAACATTTCATTTTTTTTTTAAAAGCCACTTTCCTCTGGCTTTGTAACTTTAAAAATTTTACCACCAGCTGACCAAGCAGGATATTTCAGTTTTTCACATGCTGGAGGTAGATTATCCTTGGGTATAAAAAGTTCCATTGAGTTATGGCATTGTACTCATCAAAAGAACTATCAGGCAGACCCATCGGAACTATTTTGTGAATGAATTAGCTTATTTTGGACATCGATGAATTTAAAATTTGGTATTTAAATTCCAGCACTTTTGACCGTAAAGGTTTGCGTACAAACATATACTCAGGTTGGCTCACCAACACACTACACCAAAAGACAATTTTATTTTTTATGTGTATCGTGTGAGCCAGAGTTAAGCCAATATGGTTTGAAAGCTAGGATCAACTTGAATGTATTGTATTGACTGACCTATATTCATTTCCTATAAAAGGGCCCTTACCTGTTATTTTTTTTAAAAAAGAATAACATATTGTTACTATTGGATAACTTGCTACAAAATTATTATTATTATTTTTGCAAATGTTGGAATTAAAGGAAAGCCGGGCCTCTTAGCTGTCTCTTCTCTTACACAATCTGGCAACTACTTTTTCCAACAAAACACTGCTTCTGCCAAGATTTCTCCCCTCCCACGGTTTAGCTTCGGCCTGGGAAGCAAGAAGGAACTCCGTACATGCGCAGCCGAACTCTTGCTCCCTTTACATCTCCTTTTATTTCTCAAGATTTGAGGGCATATTAAGGGGGCAGAGGAAATTAATGAGTGCTCTGGTTTACCTATGGAGATTGCGGGGGGAGGGGGAGTGTAAGAGAAAACAGAGCGAAGTATTGCCCAATCGGACTCACCCGCCGCATATAGATAGGTATGGAAAGCGGATAAAGCTAGAATCGGAGTTTCGTGGTGGTCCTGGGGAAGCCGAAGGAAATGTCCTCTAACAACAACCGGGGAAGGAAGGCTGAGGTCGCTCCCTACTGGTCCCAGTCCCAGTCCAGGCAAGGGCGGGGCAGGAGCAAGAGGCGGAGGCTGCCGAATTTGAATCACCAAAAGGCTTGGCTCCCGGGATTGAGCGTCCCGCCGGCGGGATGCGCAGCCCAAAAGCCCCGTGCGTTTTTTCTGGGGAGGAAAGATTAGCAAAAGGAGGGTGGCGGAGGGCTCTTGCAAGTCTGGTGTGCGTTTTCCTGCGAGGAAGTCGGGGTGGGAAAGTCCTGGACTCGGCAAAAGTTTAAACTTCCCCGAAAGACGCAACCCCTGGGAAAATGCAACACGTGGCCCGTGGAAAGAGCTGAGCCGGAGTGGTATCACGTGCTCGAATGCTTTGCGAATACCGCACGCGGTCCTGCGTTTTCGCCAAAGGAGCAAAATGTTTCGTCGATTTTTGCCTGCAATTCTTTATATTGCAAGGATGTACGCGCGCGGTCCTTCGAATAAAACAGCTGGCTTAAAAGGGTCGCTAAAGGGCTAGCTTTCTACTTGAAGGGATTCCGTTTACGGAAAGGGAAGATGTCACTCAACGCCTGTAATCTGGAGGAATCGCTTCTAAACGGGTGGAGACGCCAAGCGCAGGATTCGTCGGTCTTGGATTGTTTCAGAGTTTAAAGGAAGGGCAGGAGGGAGGCGGCTATCCTGGTTAGGATACGTACCAAAGCCGTGGTTTCTGTAGGTCCCATTAGCCCAAATTGCTCGAAATTTTAAAAATGTCAGTGGAAAGGCATTTTTCCTATTTGGGATAAAAAAATAACTTTCTCTGTGCAAAAAAAAAAATGGATTTAGAGGCTTGGGTCGAAGTTACAAGCCTAGAATAAACCTCTTGTAAACGGGACCTTATTTCAGTGACTCTGATCTTATCTATGTCTGAATTCACTTTAAGATTCAGAAATTCACGTACATATCATCAGAACATAAATTTGCGTATCATTTTAATCCTCTGCACTTTTAATAGCAAGCGAGCATTCATTGCTCAAACGGCGTGGTGAATCAGGCAGTACGATTTAGGAGGATAATCGCTGATGAAAATGTCGCTAGGAAACTGATTCCTTCTTTACTTTTTGTGTATGTACGGTGCTGTAACAGCAGGAAGTTTAAAATAGTCCGCAGCGGAAGCCAAAGAAGAAACTGTATCCCAGGCTTTCAAACACAATATTCTTTTGAAAGGGCAATTCTTCTCTCTAAGCTGCGTCATCTTGTGGAGGAAATATTCTCATTTAACCAACTCAAGTCGTTTACTTTTTTTTTAAGGAGTTGGTCTCCCTGGTGACTCATATAGGTTATTCTTTCAAAGCATTTCCGGGTGAATATTTGAAAAATGCAAAGAAATGGGTAATTCAACTGGATTTTAAACTTTTCTCTCTTCCTGTTGCCGTCTCCCAGCCTGACTGAATTAATATTCAAAATTTGGGGATATTTGTAAGCTCGTATTTATTTAATTGCTTCAGAAGGGCAGGTTCCAGACTCATTCGCTGCCTGGGGAGAAGCTTCCAAGGGGATTTGGTTTGAATTTTAAATTTAATTATTTTAACTGTTCCTGTTAAAAGGAAATTAATTTTAAATACTTTAAATTTTCTGTGATTCTTGTCACAACTGAGCAGTGCTGGTATCTGATTGAATACTTAATTGTTTGTTTGATTTTACTGTTTTTAAAATATTTTTATTGTCAATAGTTCAAAGAAATGTGTTCACAATTAGTTTACAAATCGCATAAATATTCTGTGCATTGACATTTTAATCATTCTCTGCCCCTTCCTTATGGGAGAAAAACCAAAACTCCAAATTTCATATTTACTAATGAACCCAAAAAAGAGATTAACATTTCAGCACTCTAGATCAGTTTGGGAATAAACAGAATAGAAATGGAATAGAGTAAAACCGAATGTGTTTACTGGAACCCTAAAGCAACACTTTACATTTTGTACTGCAATGTTTTGTTATGTTCAACATGCCTTGTCAATCAGAATGCATAGCAATATTTCTTTGAATTTGTAGATTTCAAAGAATAACTATTTTGTTTTTCAGCAGACTGAGGAATTTCTAAGGAATCTGCTAGCCAGAAAAAAACATGCTGAGAACAGTGATGAATCTTCCTTGAATTATCTGCTTATGCAAAGTACTTATTTTTTTATTACATTTCTTTGTTAGACTTCTGCTCTACTTTCTCATACAGTATTTTCCAGGAGTTATATGGAGAAGTAATGAGTAGAAATGCACCAAGGGATGAATGGAAAATGAGAAGGAAAAGGGGGTTAGCTTTATTAACTGAAGGGCTATTGTTTTTCTGTGTAAATTGTGGTGGTCATTTCTGGATCACAATATCTTTGGTCAGAATATATCTTCTTACACAAATCTTTCTCATCTGCTTCCCAAAATTGTTTATGTGGCTGGAGAAAACCCTTCAGCTCAGCAACCCTGGGCAGAAAGGAGGATGAGTGAGTGCTGTTTCCTTGGCTCCCTTCCTAGACTGATGGCTATGAAAATATGGCACGCATGCCACAGGTGGCATATGGAGCCATGTACATGGGCATGCAAGTGTTGCCCTAGCTCTCAGCCAACGGATTTTTGGGACTTCGGGCCCACCAACGTCAGGTCGAAACAGGCTGTTTCTGGCCTCCGGAGGGGTTGGGGAGGCCGTTTTTGCCTTCCCCGGGCTCCTAGAAAGGCTCTGGAGCCTGGGGAGAGTGAAAAATGGGCCTTCCGGTCTCACCGGAAGTTGGCAAATGGGCCGTTTCCAGCTTCTGGAGGTCCTCCAGGGAGTGGGGAAGGTTGTTTTCGCCTTCCCCAGGCTCCTAGAAAGGCTCTGGAGCCTGGGGAGAGCAAAAAACGGGCCTACTGGGCCCACCGTGGCATCGCGTGCCAAAATTCAAGCATTGAATTATGGGTGTGGGCGCGCACACGCATGACCCCCCACGCTCCCTCCGCTTTTGGCACGCGAAGGCAAAAAGCTTAGCCATCATTGTCCTAGACAGTCTTCTCAAAATGTGTGGACTTTAACCCTCAAAAGTTTTTTAAAAATGGCCCTGCTGAAGAATTCTGAGAATTGAAACCCAACCAATCTGGAGGCTATTAGAGACAACTTTAGAAAGTGACCCATCAGTGGGTCAGGCAGTGCAAAAAAAACACACTCAGGTTGCATTTAGTCACATCTGAAGTTTGGTGAGTTGTTGAAGATGGTTCAGTGCTTGAAATGCCTTACACAGTGCAAGTTTTGCATACCATCCCAAAAATCTAATAATGATGTCGAAGTTATTATTATTATTATTATTATTATTATTATTATTTATTATTATTATATATTATTATTATTATTATTATTTGAATTTGAATGAATTTATATACCACCCTACTCCCGAAGGACTAAGGGCAGTGAACAGCCAAAAGATAAAATACATATAATACATATGTTAAAAAATCATTAAAATACAATTAAATAATTTGGCCCAGAAAACAAAATTTAAAAACCCCAATTTTATAAGACAAATTTAAAATTTAAAAAATTTAAAAACAATTCAAAAAAGAGATTAGGCCAGGCCGGCCTGCTGGAATAGGAGTGTTTTGAGGGCACGGCGGAAAGCGCGCAGATCAGTGATCCTCTGTATCTCCGGGGGGAGCTTGTTCCAGATGGCAGGTGCTCCCACAGAGAAGGCTCTCCCCCTGGGGGCCGCCAGTCGACACTGTTTGACCTACGGCACCCTAAGAAGCCCCTCTCTATGGGAGCGTACTGGTCGGTGAGAGGCTACTGGTGGCAGAAGGCGGTCTCGTAGATACCCCGGTCCTAGGCCATGGAACGCTCTAAAGGTGGTAACCAAAACCTTGAAGTGCACCCGGAAGACCACCGGGAGCCAGTGCAGCTCGCGCAGGAGGGGGGGTCACATGGGAGCGCCATGTCGCTCCCATAACCACTCGCGCGGCCGCATTCTGGACCAGCTGGAGCCTTCGGGTGCTCAAGGGGAGCCCCATGTAGAGAGCATTGCAGTAGTCCAGGCGGGAAGTGACGAGGGCATGAGTGACCGTATTTAACGAGTCCCGATCCAGAAAGGGACGCAACTGGCGAATCAGGCGAACCTGATAAAATGCCCTCCCGGCCACAGCCGTCAGATGCCCTTCTAAAGACAGCTGTGAGTCCAGGAGGACACCCAAGTTGCGGACCCTCTCCGTGGGGGCCAACGACTCGCCCCCAATAGTCAGTGATGGCACCAACTGACTATATCGGGATGTCGGAAACCACAGCCACTCGGTCTTGGATGGGTTGAGCCTGAGTCTGTTTCTCCCCATCCAGATCCATACAGCCTCCAGGCACCGGGACATCACTTCAAGGGCATCATTGGGGTGGTCGGTCCGGGGTGGAGATGTACAATATAATATACATGGTGGGCTACCTGAGTAGTAGCTAAAGACCACATGATCTCTCATCTCCTAAGTGTCTCAAGTTATGACGTCATTTATGGACATGTTAAAATAAGATGACTGGGATGACAAAATCCAACTTTAATTCCCAGCATAGGTGTCTGCATAAAGTAGAGGGAGTGAGCAGGGACAACAAGCAATGCTACATTCTGCATGATGACATTGTAACTGCATGTCCTAGTTTGGGTTGTTGAAAGCCATTAGTTGATTAAAATAGAATGATTTTGATATGGTGGAAAAATGGGCTTGGGTATGTCACTAGAAGCTATTTTCTACCTCAGTTCTTACCAAATGGTTATAATTCTACAGTATCTTTTCAAAGCTGTGATCTTCCAGATATGTTGGGAACGACTACTTGTTGGGGATTCTGTGAGTTGTTCCTCTATCTGGTATATGTTCGCGTGGAGAAAGCCAACCTAAGGATTATTATTATTATTATTATTATTATTATTATTATTATTATTATTATTATTATTATTATTATTATTATTATGGATTCACCTTTTGTCAAGGGATTCCAAATTGAAAATAAACAAGGGCACAAGCTTTGCTTTACAGATAATTGTCAGCTTGCAACCATTCACTTACGACAACCTCCCTAAAAGGTATTTACAAACCAGGATTTGAAATTCAAATGGCCACTCTGCATGATTGCATTTATGGTCATTTGCAGCAATCCATGACTGCAATTTACAACTTTCAGGCTGGAAACTGGTGTCTCTGGCAAAAATGCCCATTGCGGACAGTGGATTTGTTTAATGTTCATAACCACATAGTTCACTTTATGACTGTCACATTTGCTTAACCAGAGCAAAAAAAGTAATAAAATTGGGCACAGTCACGTGATGAGCTCCTTAATGGCTAGCATGACTTACAGTCATAATTCTGGGGTTCATTACAATCATAAGACAAGGATTAGCTGGGAAGATAATATATTATTGCTAACTGGTATCTTTCATCAACTGTTCCCAAAAGAAATGTATTGTCCATTCTTTTGTCCAATAAATCCTCTATTGTACATTGAGAAATTGGAAAGAAGTCTCTGAAAGGTGGGAATCTATCTTGAAGTAAACCCAGATGTTTGCTTTTGATTCTTGTTTTAATTGTCTTGCCATTCTGATTTTTGTTTTAAATGTAACTTTGCAGAGGCTGAGAAATGTCACAGCAGCTGGTAAAAGAAGCTTTTCTAAGTAACCTAAATGGAACGACATTACTTGAAATTTCTGTTAGCTTACCTCTTGCACCATTATGTGTTCTCACCAGAGGACTGCTCCTAATTTTGTATTTTCTCCATAACAGAAGACCTTTATGCTCAATATATGGCAATTTTTTTCTAGACTTCACTGTTTTAATCGTCCCTCTAGTACTTTCCTGTACAATTTTAGCTTCCACACTCCCTTTTGTGATCCTCTCCATTATGGCACTCTGCACAGGCTTGATTTTTGTCATTTATACGAAACGGACAATTTATGCCCAAGTAAATCTTAAGCAAATCTTAGATGATTTTCTGAGAACCAACTTGGACCCAGAATACATTCCCGCCATAACCTCGCTTCGAGTGTTTATCAATTTATGGACATCCATTAACATCCTGGCTGTAGACTTCCCACAGTATCCCCGGAGGTATGCCAAAACGGAGTCTTATGGGACCGGGCTGATGGATTTGGGAGTTGGAATATTTGTTTTTGGAAATGGTGTGGTTTGTCCAGAAGTTCGGTTGAAACCTGGTGCGTCCCAAAACAAATTCTTTTATTTCACAAGGCAGTTGTTGACCGTATGGCCTCTCCTACTCCTTGGCTTTGGACGACTAATGAGTGTTAAAGCAGCTGACTATTATGAGCATGTCACTGAGTATGGTGTGCACTGGAACTTTTTCTTCACTTTAGCTGCTATACGAATGGGTGCATCGCTCCTTCTGACTGTATTCCCCGTGCACAAAGCCTGGATAGTCGCAGTAATGTTAGCTGTGGTTTATGAATGCTTTCTTGAGATTACACCTCTGAAAATGTTTATTTTGCATGGAAGCAATGGGCAAGATTCAAGGACTGGTTTTCTAAATGCCAACAGAGAGGGCATATTTTCTGTCATTGGTTACCTTGCTATCTACATGGCTAGTGTGCAAGTAGGTTTATATTTGTTAGGAAAAAGAACAACAGCAAGAGGATGGCTTAAAATAATCTGCTACTTTTTACAGGCCATTTTCCTCCTTTTTATATGTCTCTTCGTTGCTCAGATGTACATTGACACCGTGTCCCGACGAATGGCAAATCTTTCTTTTTGTATATGGATCATTGCTAGCTGCTTGATTGCATTTAGTTCTTTTTTAGTGGTTGATCTCATTCTCATATTCACAAAGCTTGTTGTGGGTGGGGCCGATATTCCTAGTAGTTGGAATGTTCTACACTCATCAACATATAAAAAATCTGATTTGGAATTTCGGCACAGAAAAAACGAATCTCAGAGTATGTGCATGATCAATGCTGTGAACAAAAACCAGCTTCTGCATTTTTTGCTAGCCAATGTTTTAACTGGTCTTGTAAATATGCATGTTGATACAGTGCACAGCAGCACACTCTCTGCCATGTTAATTCTGCATTTGTATATGTTTACAAACTGTTTAGTTATGTATATGTTACAAGCAAAAAATATAGTTTTAAAATGGTGGTAATTTACAAAGCTGCAGGACATATCTAGGCAATTCCCAGGTATGAACATTGACTTGAAGGCACAAAAATATTGCCAATAAAAATGATAAAAGCTGCAATGCCTTTATGAAATATAAAGCCTTGGGTGTTTTTCCTTAGGTTTGCGATATATATGCATAAGATGGTATATATTTTTTAACTGGGATATTTAATAGCCCATTTCCGATTTTTGGAAAATGGAACGGAATTATTTTAAACAAGAGAAAACGTCTTGTCAATAATATATGTTTACAAACTTTTGTAACATTATGAAACATAAAAACCATTATCACTCAAGTGGATTGGGACAATTTTTTTTGTAGGGGGTTAAAGGATAAAATTGATAAAAACAAAGATACCTGTTTTGATTCTTATTTTAGAAAAATATATATTTCAATGATACAATTGAATATCAGTGCTGGAGGATCAGGTGTGGCTTGAAGGTTTCTTACACCTGCTATTTCTACTTAGCCCAACTGACGTATATATTTAGGCTAGTTTTGGGCCCTCAATTGAGAATACGGAAGGTAAATCAAAGTATAAAAATTAAAGGCGGCCATTCTACTTAGGTTTCTGGAAATGGATCAACTGCTACATACATTAGCAGTTGTAATTTACTATTCATTGGAGAAAAACAAACGTGACATAATATAGAAAATAAAGTTCTCGTTTCTGAGCTCATAACCTCAGTGGAACTATGCCCAACGAAAGTCATTATGCAATAATGTTCCATTTTCAAGGCCATGCAATAAAGTAAGCCATTTGTTGTATTTGTTCTGAAACACAATTTATTTAAAAGTACCAGTGTTTATGCAACTGAAACTTGCCAAACACAATGAGAAAATGTGGACTTAACATCCTTGACTTCCAACCATTCATGACTGTGGTATCTAATAATCACTAGAAATAAAGGGACATGAAGAACCAGAGGTCACTCCATAAGGTCAGTCCCTTTCATACATGTATGCAATGTTACAATGCACATACAAAGGATCTTTCATGACAACACAAAAAATTCTTTTCACTATTATTTGCAATTCTCCCCATCGCTCCCAGAGATACTGATACTTTTGAGACAGGTGAAATAATTTTCAAATACTTTTGGCCCGCAGCCCTTGGCTATTTTTCTTTTCTAAATAAAATTATGCTTTACATTGTTATATGCCACTTCCAATTTATTTATGATGCTAAAATGCTAGATGAAGAGCCTAGCGAGGGGGTTGTCACAACCCCTGGAGTGACAAATGGAATGGCAAAATACTGGGCAGGCTAGAAGCTAGGTACTAACTAGCAGTCCAGGTACAAGCCAAGTTTTGTTAGCAGAACCTCAACCCTATAGTTGCTTAATGCCAAGTTGATCCATATTGTGAATGCAATAATATACAGGTAGTCCTCGACTTACAACTGTTTGTTTAGTGATCATTCAAAGTTATAACAGCACTAAAAAAAAGTGACATGCCCTTTATTCACACTTAATACTGTTGCAGCATCCCCATGGTTATGTCATCAAAGTTCAGACACTTGGCAACTGACTCGTGACAGTTGTAGTATCCTGGGGTCATGTAACCTTCTGACAAGCAGTCAGTGCGGAAGTCAGATTCACTTAACAACTGTGGCAAGAAAAGTTGTAAAACGAAGCAAAACTCACTTAACAATCCTCTTTCTTAACAATAGAAATTTTGGGCTGAAATGTGGTCTTGAGTCGAGGATTACCTGTAACGATGGATAAAGATCATAAGATGACCTTTCTTTCCAAATGGACGTAAATGATTAAACCCTTCAGTTTTACCTGAGTGCTGGTATCCAATTTGCTGTCAGTATGACCTTGAATTGTAGAAGCAGCGTTCCATTTTGATTTCAGATTCAGGTTTATTATCTTCTGCCAGACACCTGTCTGGAACAGGTATTTTTTTCTGTTCTATTGCTGTGCCATTTCTCAGTCGATTGCAAGAAAAGGCTCCAGATTCGGCATTGTGCATCTCCAAGCTTCTTTTAAATATTTATGATGTATTTTGGGGGGCAAAGCAGGTTTACGTTGTACCTTCTTTAAAATATATTTGGTGTGGGGAAAGCAAGTTATATATTATCCCTCCATTTAAACATTCATAAGGCATACTTTTGGGGGGAAAGCAGGCATACATTATACCTTAGCTATAGGGGAAAGAAGATATATACCTTGTTTTATATCTGCTGCCTGCTGCCACCAGTAGCCTCTCACCGGCCATTACGTCTCATAGAGAGGGGCTCCTCCAGGTGCTGTTGGCCAAACAATGTCAACTAGTGGCCCCCAGGGGGAGAGCTTTCTCTGTGGGGGCACCTGCTATCTGGAATGAGCTCCCCCCCGGAGATACAGAGGATCCCGGATCTACGCACCTTCCGCCACGCCCTCAAGACTTTTTTATTTCATCAGGCCGGCCTGGCCTATCTTTTCCCTTTTAACTTTTTAAATTGTAAATTTTAAATTTGTCTTAAGTATTGGGGGTGTTTTAATTTGTCCCGGGCCAAATTATCTAATGTGGTTTTATATTGTCTTTTAAATTTTGTAATCTATGTGTTTTATTTTTGGCTGTTCACCACCCTGAGTCCTTCAGGAGTAGGGCGGTATATAAATTTAATTAATTAATTAATTAATTAAATATTGATAACCCGTTTTGGGGTGAACATAGGTATATGTTAAGCCATTAAAATATGGATATCTTCTTTCAAATATTATTAATGTACAGGTAGTCCTCAACTTACAAGTTTGCTTAGTGATTATTCAAAATTACAGCAGTACTGAAAAAAGGACTTAATGACCATTTTTCACACATCTGTTGCAGCATCCCCATTGTGGGAAGCCCCCCCTCCCAATGAAATATTTGGGGAAATACTAAAAAAGGCAGAATATTGTATTTCCCTAAAAGAGAAATATATTTTTAGAGGCAGAAAGCAGCCCCCCCCAACCTTAATAGCCCACAGTAGATGCCAGCACTTAAGGAGATAAGAGTTTGCACAGACACCTCGGCAGCATTTCAAGACCTGTATAAAAATCCTGACACTCGTCTAGCTAATTGTTCAGCTGATTTAGAACCACAAACTCTGGTGGTTCTGTTCAGCAATAAATGAACCTTTCTTTCCAATCAGCCTCCATGTTGTTTCCAGCATTTCTCCCAGCTTGAAACTGAACCAGATGGATTTTCCTTCCAACACCATGATCACATGAACAAAATTGTATTTATTTCCCACGTTCATGTCCATGTTCATATTCATACCCACTATCTTGTACATGTTTGACAAACTAATAAATAAAATTCAGTTGGCAAGGACTCATTTGTGACTGTTGCAGTGTCCTGGCACATTCCCCCCCCCCCAAGTAAAGTTAATGGGGAAGCCAGATTCACTTAACCACCGTTTTACTACCTTAATAATTGCTTATTTGTGCCCTGTGTTGTACCTTATGATTCTTGATGAATGTATCTTTTCTTTTATGTACATCGAGAGCATATGCACCAAGACAAATTCCTTGTGCGTCCATTCACACTTGGCCAATAAAAAAATTCTATTCTATTCTTAATAACCGCAGATTCACTTAACTGTGGCAAGAAAGTTCATAAAGTGGGGCAAAGTTCACTTCACAAATGTTTCAATTAGCAACAGAAATTTCAGGTTCCATTGTGGTAGTAAATCGAGGACTACATGTATATTTCGGAGGGCAAAGTCGCCTCATAATTTTTTTTTGTATAAGGGAGACCAAAAACGGTTTAAAAGAAGCGTCCAACGAAGCGTAAGGACCAGTTCCTATTTAAAATGCATGAGGGGGAAAATTCTTCAGGAACGTTGCCCAAAGCGCAATTTCGCCCCCCTTTTTTTTTAATCCCGAAAACAGCCCGTTAAATTCACTCTCGCCTCAGGGCGAGCGCGAGATGGACGTCGCCTCATCTCCCACCTTTTCCCGCTCGAACTTATTTCTCGAGGCGGAAGAAACGGCTCACTGAGCATGCGCAAAACCTCAGCGTCTTATTCGCCGCGCCGGCGGCAGGGGCTATTTGTGACAGTTTCCAAGAAAGAAAGGCGGGGAATGGGCTTGCGGGTTCCACTTCACGTCAAGCGTTCCTTCTCGCGCATGCGCAGAAGGCCGCAAGCCGGAGCCTCTTTCCGGCCTTACCTATATAAAGGAAACGCTCTTCCACCCTCCTTTCTTCGATTTGAGCCCGCGGCGGAAAAAGCGAAGGGGAAGGCCGAGGAAGGGGCGGGCCACGCAAGGTTCATTTACATAAAGGGAAAAAAAAGAGAAGGGGCGGAGCTTGTGGCAGAGGTGACAGCTTCAGCCGAGGCACGCCCTGAAAGAGCAGTTAGTCGCCCTGAGGGGGGGGGGGGGGCAAAAGGGGGGGGGGTTTGGGACCCGGGGGGGGGGCCCCGCGCGCGGGGGGGCGGGGGGGGGGGGGGGGGGGAAGGGGGGAGGTCGGCCTTCTCCGTCTCTCGCGAGAGGAGGGGGGGCAGGAGGAGGAGGGGCAGGGGCGGAGCCAAAGCCGGACGAGGAGGCTCCATGCTGCCCTCCTGAAAGAGGGAGGGAGGGGAAGGGAAGAGAGAGAGGCCAAAAAAATCGCCCGTTTCGGCGCTTCGAGGTGTGGCAGTTTCTTCTCCTGCAAGCTTCAGTCGCTTCAGCCAATAGGAGAGGCGGGCTGGGGGGAAAAGGAAGGTAAATTTAAATAGAGGTGGAGCCTGTCGGAGCAGTAAGTGGTGGTGAGCGGGGGGAGGAAGAGGAGGAAGAGCGAAGGTTATGCTTTGACCTACTCGTTGCTTTATTAATTTATTTTCTTCCGTTGTATTTATATCCTGGGGAGGGGGGGGAGGATTTCTGGGCCTAACCTGCTTCCTTTCAAAATGCAAAAAAAAAATAATAATTAAAAAATACCCCCCCTCCCTGAAGAAGGAAGGGGAGAGGCCATTTTCCTCTAAAAAAAAAAACCTTTTCTCCCCATTATTGGAGGATTCCCTAGGAGGAAAAAAATTGCAAAATTTGCAATGCCAAAGTGGGGGTGGGGGTGATGCAAAGATGCAAAGAAGGTGGCAAAGTCAAAAGGAGAGGTAGTCAGAGAGTGAAATAGCCCTTGATTAAGAAAAAAAAAAATCCAAAAAAATTCCCTCTTTTGAAAAAAGTTGGCAGGCTGCTAATTACTTTTTCTTTCTGCTTTGAAACAAGCTGCATTTTTTTTGTTTTGTTTTTTTTGCCCCCTTGGGCGTATTGGATGAGTGTGTAGTAGGTGTACAGGTTAAGCTTCAACTTAATCATTGCTGGCAAGAGCTCTTGATTTTGGTTGCTAAAATACTTTTGCAAGTTGGGTCTGCCTGCAATTCCGGGGTTGCTTAGTTCTAGAAAGCAGAACAATGTTTCTCGTAGGTGATTTTGCGTGCTGTTAGCAGGCTTGGCTTTTGGGGTCCTGCTGTAATTCAGAGGCTTTGGCTCGGTAGCGTGGAGTTTGATGTCCTGCTTATATCTCGGCACAGCAAAAGTTTATTTTTTTCCTAGAAAAAGTGGCCTTGCGGAACCTCGTTTGCAATTACCCTGTTTCTCCCAAAATAAGACATCCCCTGATAATAAACCCAATTGGGCTTTTGAGTGCATGGCAATAAGGCCAAGCGCTTATTTCAGGGTTCAAAAAAATATATAAGACAGGGTCTTATTTTGGGGGAAACACAGATTGCTGGTGCCCTGTTACCGGAAGGTTTCAAAAATAGACTGGACTACCATTTGACCAGGATGGTATATAAAAGTTTCCTGCTTTGAG